AACAACTGGATTAGAATGCAAATGCAGTGACTGTGGGTTGCCCGTGCCCAAACGAACACCGTTTACCTCCGGCCCTAGATTCTAAATCCCTCTCCAGAAGGGACCAGAGCTTATTGGACAATGTGTGCTCAGCAGGAGGCCTGACATATGCAGCTGCTCTGTGGATGTTTGTTTGATGAAGGCAAACTCTCTGGTTCCACGGGACAGAGTCGCTTTCACTGAGATGGTAGTTGGCCTGTGGCAGGGCTGCTAAGGCTCAGGGAGACAGTTACAACAAAGGCTGGGGTTCTCATCCTGAGACCCTCTTCTTCCCCGAGGGCCTCACATCAGAATCAGAGCCTGATTTCCCGCTGCTGGATGAGCTCCTACACTTGAGGGCAGGGTCGGGGATTACTCCAGGCTCTCCCCCAGGAAAGAGCACTGAGATGAACAAGCTCTCCAACAGGAAATCTGAACAGAAGAGTCGCTTTCCCCGACCAGACTGAAAGCCTCTCCTACACATCCTCAAACTTTGCTGCATATTTAGTATCACCTGGGAAACTTAAAAAAAAAAGAAAAAACTTAAAAAAAGAGAAAATCCCACTGCTTAGGCCACACCTCATACCAATTAAAGACAAATAGATGAGGGTGGGCCAGGTGAATCCAAAGTGCAGCCACACTTGCAACCCAGCACCCTATGACACAAGACCAACAGGGAGCCCGGCACATAGCAGAAAGCACGAGGCACAGACTTGTCTGCATCCTCCTTTTGTTTCATGAGAAAACAAACACAATTACAAGAGAAATGGGGCCCCTCAGGCCCAGCGTATTTAATAATCCTCAATGCAAAAGGGTTGAAAACTATCTGACACAGTCCCTAAATCAGTAAATTAGATTCAGATAAATAATGATCCAAAGGGGGGATTGTCATCTACCCCAAGGCCACAGTCAGATAACTAAAATTCCGGGTCCCCGGGTGAGTCTGAGAGGTGAGACCCTGAGAAAGGCAGCTGTGACAGGTAATGTCCATCAGACACCAGCTTCTGGGCTGGCCCTGCTCCCCTCCCAGGTTCTGGGTGGGCAGGGAGAGCAGGCTTTGGCTCAGAAGAAGTCTGGAGGAACCTGAGTGGGGACCGGGACAGGCTCACTCAAGAGTTTTTGGAGGGAAATTCCTGCCGGCCTTGCCCCTTGCTGCCAAAGTAACGCACCCGATGGATGATCTGCAGCTGCTGCTCAATGGTGGCGGTGATGTTCACGTTGTCGGGGATGTGGACGTAACGGACGTTCCGGCCTGTCACAAAGAGGTCGTCCAGCTGCACCTGATGCCCCCAACGGTCTGTATAGGTGACCTGGGCCAGGCGGATGTTCATGAAAGCATCGACGTTGTCTATGCGTCCGTGGGCCACGCTCTCATCTCGCAGGTCCACGGTGGTGACCTGGCCCTGGAGGCCCTGCAGCAGGATGATCAGGCTGTTCTCAGAGATGGTCCGCTCCTTCACCGAGTGGCTCACCTCCATTCTTCCACGCCGTGGGCTGCTCGCTCTGGGAGGGGCACACACAGGGGAGCTGAAGCAGGCTAGGGAGTGTGGGTGCTCACTTACCGATGTCAGCTTTGAGCACAAAATCCCCAGCCCAGACTTCCCCAGGTCTGCCCACCAATTTTTATGTCTATGGAACACCCTTAGGTGCTTTCATGGACACACCTTATAGAATCTTCACAACACCTTGCAAATCAAGCATCACTTACACTCACCTTATAAACAAGGAAAATCAGGCCAGGAGAGGTTAAGTAACTGGCCCAAGGTGCTGGGATTCAAATTCATGGCTGCCCAGCTCCAATTCCCACACCCAGAGTTCTGAACCCTCATTGTGAGAATCACCCAGTGAGTTTCTGGTCACCACACCCCAGAGGATCTGATTCATTTGGTCAGGGGTGGGGCCCAGGTACCCTATTTTGTAAAAGCTCCCCAGGTGATTCTAATGTGCATCTAAAAGCATAGACAAGGAGCTTGAGAACCACTCCTCTAAAGTGTAGTTTATACCCTTGCTGCTGAAAGTATGGTCTGTGGACCAGCAGTTTCAGCATCACCCAGGTGCTTGTTTCGGAATGCAGAATCTCCAGGCTTTCGCCAGACCTACTGAAAGAATCTGCATTTTAACATGAGCCCTACATGAATCGCTTCACCAGTTCTCAGACATTAGTGTGCATCAGAATCATCTGCAGGAAAGGTTAAAGGATGCCCCCCCTCCCTTCTAACTCAGTCTGTTTGAGGTGGTGCCCCAAAATGTGCATTTCTAACATATTCTCAGCTGATGCTGATATTGCTGGTCTAGGGCCCACTGAGAACGACTGGTCCACATGATGCTGCTGCCCTGTAACCAGGAATTTAGACAACTGTAAAAAAAGGAAATGGTAGCATATATGGCACATAGGTATTGAAGGTAGAGGAACGGAGGTTGGAATCCCCACTCCACCCACACTCTGTAGACTTAGGCCAGTTACTTAATGTCTCTGAACCTGTTTCCACGTCTATTAAACCAACAGGTGAGGTTAACAGGTTCTCACCACACTGAGTGTATCTTCCTTCGCTTTCGACACGCTTGGATGCTGTATTAATGTTACTTTGTCTTATCCATCCCCCATTTTCAGACCTTGAGTGCCAGGTGTTTGAATTTCTTTCCTTAAGACTTCACTCAATGAAGTAAGCCAGAAAGATAAAGACCAATACAGTATACTAATGCATATATATGGAATTTAAAAAGATGGTAACGATAACCCTATATGCAAAACAGAAAAAGAGACACAGATGTACAGAACAGACTTTTAGACTCTGTGGGAGAAGGCAAGGGTGGGATGTTCTGAGAGAATAGCATTGAAACAAGTATACTATCAAGGATGAAACAGATCCCCAGCCCAGGTTGGATGCATGAGACAAGTGCTCAGGGCTGGTGCACTGGGAAGAGCCAGAGGGATGGGAGGGAGGCAGGAGAGGGGATCGGGAAGGGGAACACATGTAAATCCATAGCTGATTCATGTCAATGTATGGCAAAAACCACTACAATACTGTAAAGTAATTAGCCTCCTGCTAATAAAAATAAATGGAAAAAAAAAAAAAGACTTCACTCAGGATCCCGACAGGGCTGTGCAGGGTGGCATGAAGTGTGGCAAGCTAGCTACCCACTCCACTGACAAGGTGCTAAGAGTTGGGCCGGAAGACTCTTAACGACCCCACCCAGGTTTCACCAGGCGTATCCGCTCAAACTAGGTTTCGGGGAGCACAGTGACTGCAAAGAGGCAGATCTGGGCCCGAGGACCGGGCTCGGTCACTTCCTAGGAGGGTCGACCTCGAGAAAGCCACTTGGCTTCTTCAAGCCTGTTAGACCGTCCCTAGAGTGGGGATGGTGACGACCCTTTACTCACAGAGCGTGGGAGTGGGCTTGGGAAGAGGCGCTAAACTCAGCAACCGGGAGGAAGACGCGGTCCCCGCTCCCGCCGCCTCCGTGATTCCAGGCTCGCTCGCGCTCCGCCCCTGGCTGCCCAGGACCGCCGCGCGGGTTCCTTCCGCTGTCCCGCTGCGCGTCGCCGCCGAAACTAGCGGGCGCCTAGCCGGGCGGCCTCCCTCTCGCGGCCGGGTTAAGACGCCATGGCAACCGCGGGGCCGCTCGGTCCTTCCGGAGCATCGAGAGCGCGGCCGAGCGCAGAGCTGGCGTCCCCCGCGGCGAGCCCGGAACTACAATCCCCAGAATGCCTCGCGGGCTCGAGACTCGCCGTCCTGCTGCCCCGCTACGTCACTGGATTCTCTTCTCCTTTGGAATCATTCTTTCATTCCGCGAATGAAATAATAGGTTCCCTGGCGGCTCAGTTGGTAAAGAGTCCATCCTGCAATGGAGGAGACCCGGGTTCGAACCCTGGATTGGGAAGATCCCCTTCTGGCAACTCACTCTAGTATTCTTGCCTGGAGAATCCCCCGGACAGAGGAGAGTGGCAGGATACAGCCGGGGGAGTCGCCATCTGAGCCACCACCTTCAAGGTTTGAGCGACCTCCGTTAAGTTGTGGCAGCAGCTGGCACACTGGAGAAGCCCCATGAGTTAGGCTTCGGTCATTCCTCTAGCCTCTCGTTTACTGGTTTCAGCCTCTCTCAGAAACCACCCCTTTTTTATCCTCCATCACAGCTGGTCTCTTCTAATCCTAAAGATAGAAAACGTCTTTCTCCTCCCTGGCAGCTACTCTGTTTTCCTACCTTCCACAGTTGAACCTCTCAGGAGAGGCCTCTGTATCAGTGATTCTCCAATTGGGAGTTCTTTTCCCAACCCCATTTCTACGTGGGACTGGATTTTCTTCTTCTGGTGGTGGTGGTGGTTTAGTTGCTAAGTCGTTTCCGACTCTTGCAACCCCATAGGCTGTAGCCCGCCAGGCTCCTCTGTCCATGCGACTTCTCAGGCAAGAATACTGGAGGGCATTGCCGTTTCCTTCTCCATCTCTTCTTGTACTTCAGCCAGAACAACATAGCACGATGAGCCGAACGCAGAAGCAGATATGAGAATCTGTCTTCTAGTAGGACAGACATTAAACAGATTTGCAAAAATAAAAAAGTGTCACTCTTCTCATCAAATTTAAAAAAAAAAGTTATTTTAAAATAGAAATATGATAATGGGCCTGTTATTGTCATTTGAAAGGAAATTAATTTTAAAATCTTATCACAATTTCATATATATGTGATTATATATATATATATCCCACATAAACAAATACTTTAGTTTTCAGTAATTTTTTAAGAGTACAAAAGGGTTTTGAGACTCAAAATTTGAGAACAGTCGCTCTATCCTGAGGACTTTCACCTACTTACTCAGCTCACTGTAATCTGGCTTCTCAAGAGTATTTTTAGTTTTACTCACATTAACTTCTCTTGAAAAGGTTACTAATGATCTCCATGTACATAAGGGAATCTCTTATCTCCTTTCATTAAAAAAAAAATTATTTGACAGGTCTTAGTTGTGGCATATGTGATCTACTTCCTGACTAGAGATGGAACCCAGGCCCCCTGTATTGGGAGCGCAGAGTCTTAGCCACTGGACCACCAGGGAAGTCCCAGGGAACCAGTTGCCTTAATGTTATCTGGAATGCTTGTTAAACCCCACACCTACAGAATCAGGAGTAGAGCCCAGGAATCTGCACATATAACAGTGCTCACTGATGTTGAGACCCGATGCCCTCCTAAAGTCAGACTCAGCGACTCCCAGGCAAGCCCTGCACTCTTGTCTCTGCCTTTGCTATTGTGCTCATCTGCCTGGGATCCTTTCTTGTTTATCTACAGATGTTAAGTCCAATCCCTCCTTCAAAGGCTGGCTGTACCTTTCTGAAGTCTTCTTTGATAATGCCAATTGGGAGTGAGGCTGATAGCATACTGCTTGATACATGTTTTCTTGGTGCATGCAGATTCACCATCGCTACTTATGTAAATCTCACCTCTCCTACTCATCTCTTGGGTGTTGAGACAGGGAGAAGGTCCTAGGAGGCTGAGATGCTTCACCCTACAAACAGCAGTTTCAGGAGGAACAATGGTTTTATGAATGTGGTGAGATGCTGGGATCTGAATGAACTGGTGGCAGTGGGATGGAAACAAGGTTAAAGCCCCTGAAGAGAGTGAATCAGAATCCTTGGGGACTGATTAAACCTGGAGTTTGGTTTGCAGGAGGGGGAATCAATGATTTAAATTTTAACGCTGATGGCCCATTGACAGGAATGAGTGGTAGGGTTGGGAGGGGGTTCACGCCTGTAGAGGGCATCTAATTTTTTGGCTACACAGCCCACTGAACTCCTTTCCACACCTTTGGGGAGATCTGCCATTCTGTGAATTTCAGTGAGAGGTGAGTCTCTGTTCCCAACTCCAGATGGTTTAAAGGGCAGACATCATCTCTGATCCTTGTCAGCTATGGCACAGGCTGGTGACCTAAACTTAGGCATTATCAGATTCCAAACCTGGAGCAAGGGACACAGACCAGCAGGAACTGTTGAGGCTTCATCTTGGTGTCTGCGTCATCCAGCGCCTCATCCCTGCAGGTGCTGCTGCTGCTGGTGTGCTCTCCCATGCCGCCTCCCTGTCCCTGGTTCCTGGCCATTTCGCATGGTCCTTCACTCATCCTGACAACTGTCAGTTGCCTAAAGCCCCTTCAGTAAATTCCTTCTCCATCGCAGTGAAGAATTAGTTCCATTTTTTTTTTTTTTTTTGCAGTCTCAAACCCAGACTAGGGCCCACTTGAATTGAGTTCATTTCAGGATCCTTGAGAACTTTCCTGGTGGCTCAGATGGTAAAGCGTCTGCCTACAATGTGGGAGACCCAGGTTCAATCCCTGGGCCGGGAAGATCTCCTGGAGAAGGAAATGGCAACCCACTCTAGTATTCTTTCTGGAAAATCCCACGGACAAAGGAACCTGGTAGGCTGCAGTCCATGGGGTCCCAAAGAGTCGGACACAACTAAGCGACTTCACGTTCACAGGAGCCTTGAATTTCCCTGTTCCCTGTACATGATTTCATTGTGGTTCTGTATCCAGCAGTCAGAAGACACAGAATCCTGAGAGTTAGGGTGATTCCCAGGTCACCTGCTCCAACTTCCCACCCAGGGTCCAAATCCCCTCTCCAGCCTCCCCCACTGCTTGAGATTCCAGTGACCAGCAACTCACTCCTGTGCGAGGTGTTCTATGCCATCGTTAGGAAGTTTTGGGTAACTTCTATTCATTGCTTCTGGTTCTTTTCCATGGAGAACTGTCTTATTTTGTATTACATTCAAGCAGATTCCTCATGCCTTTTGAAAGTAAAGTGAATGTCCTGAATAAATAAAAATGACATCAATGTTAGACACTAAGCGCCAGGTGACGGAATGTCTCAGGAAGAGTGAACCTGCAGCCCAGAGAGGGGAATATGGAAATTTGTGTGTTAATAGTATGGGGTCAAAGTAATGGCCTCTCTGAAAAAAGGAATGCAAAATAGTTTGCAGAAGAATGCAGACTAAGCACTGCAGGGCACATAATATATGTGGTCAGCATAGGGATGGGGGCGGTGAGAGCAAAGGATAGGGTGAGGGTGAGAAATGGAGGGAGGCGATGACAGCTGAGGTGAGAGTGTGGTGACAGGGGTGGGGGGGGGAATGCCAGGGGTGAAATAAGGATCCTCCAGCAATTGCCCCAGCCATTCTGACAGACTTTGAAAAATGGCTACATCAACATCTGTATCAGAGGGCGATCTTCAATCAGAAGCCACCGAGGGGGGACTTCCCTGGTGGTCCAGTGGCCAATAAGACTCCTTGCTTCCAATGCAGGGGGCCCGGGTTCAATCCCTGGTCAGGGAACTAGATCCCACATACCAAAGCCAAAAGATCCTGCATGTCACAACTAAAGCTGAAGATCCTGTGTGCCGTAACTAAGACCCAACATAGCCAAGGGGGAAAAAAAAAGAAGCCACTGAGGAAGAGAGGGGAAGTGTGGTCAGAAATTAGTAGGATTTGAACATAAGACATAGTAAGAAAAGGAGAAAAGGGTCTTGAACCAGGCCCAGGAGAATGGGGAGCAGAGAAGGCAGCTGAATCCAGCAAAGCTGGGGCTGGAGACTGAAAAGGGCCAGTGTTATGACAGAAGCTATGGAAGCGGGAGAGGGCGAGGTGAAGCAATATGGGAAGGCTGGAGGAGGTCCTGGAGGAGCTGAGGCCAGGCTGTGTGCAATCGTGTGGGACCCACGGGCTCCTTGGAGGCCTTTCGCCTTTCGGTGAAGTTCTGAGGTGCAGAAAGGGGGCTGGGTAGGGGGTAAGAAAGGTAAATGATGTGCTGAGGTAGAGGGCAGAGGTGAGGGAAGACATTCCACACAGGTTATTATCTTCTCAGTTGTAACTGAAGCTGGGAGGCCTGGCTATCCAGAAAACCCGAGCTGAGGGCATCCTTGTTCTTCCCCTTAAATACATGAAAAAAGGAGAAGGCGAGGGTGGGATGATTTGAGAGAACAGTATTGAAACATGTATATTATCATATGTGAAACAGATCGCCAGTCCAGGTTAGATGCATGAGACAGGGTGCTCAGGGCTGGTGCACTGGGATGACCCAGAGGGATGGGATGGGGAGGGAGGTGGGGGGGGGGGCTCAGGATGGGAAACACAGGTACACCCATGGCTGATTCATGTGAATGTATGGCAAAAACCACCACAATATTGTAAAGTAATTAGCCTCCAAAAAGAAACAAAAAGAAGTTGGGGAATTTTACAGAGGAGGGTGGAGGGATCTGAAGCCAATGTGCACGTGGATTTAGGAGTCTTGGGTCTGCCCCCAGGTCTATAAAGCTTTGTTTATAATACTTGTTTTATCCTTTGTGTGTTTTAAAATTTTACATTTCAAGTAATCCAAAAATAAAGAGAAAACAATTTATGAAGTTTATAGACAGTGACTTTTGAAGAATTTTGTAAGAGATGTGAATTTAAACAACTTCTTTTATTGTAATTTCAGCTGTCTCTGTGATTTTCAAAAAGTCACTTTTTAAATAGTCCTCTTATTTTTCTCCCAGAATATGGGACTAGTGTTAATGACACACCCTGGCAGGTCCTTCACCTTCATAATGAGAAAAAAAGGACACACCTCATTAGGCCTAATGTAACGGGTTTCCTGTGGTTTTGGGAACTAGCAGAGAAGATACTGTTATTTTTATCAGCAGAGGAACCACTGGCCAGAAACAAAAAGGATGTAGCATGTGTGTATGTGGAGTGGTGGTGGAGGTGTCAAGGTGACCAAAGAATCCAGAACGATTTCCATTGGCTCTTGGAATTCATCTTGACATTCTCATTTGAAAAGAGGTGGGCTATGATTTGAGAATTTACTTTGCATTGAATCCTGAAGCTGGGTAGGGAAGATTCAACTGAGAAGAGGGGTCTCCAGCCCAGTCCCTTGAAAACAGTTCTTTCCACTCCCTCCACTGCCAGCTGTCCAGGAATTTGGCAGCAGAAGAGGAGTTTTCCAGGCTTGATTTAAGGGAAGAAGCATGTGCATGTGCTGAGATACCTCAGTCGTGTCTGACTCGGTGCGACACCATGGATTGTAGCCCGCCAGGCTCCTCTGTCCCTGCGGTTCTCCAGGCGAGAATACCAGAGTGGGTTGCCATTTCCTCCTCCAGGGGATCTTCCTGACCCAGGGATCAAACCTGTGTCTGTCTCCGGCATTGGTAGGTGTGTTCTTCACCACTTGCGCCACCTAAAGGGAGGAAGGGGTAGGTAAACGGTGTATTGATTTTTGGATTTTAATTTGGGTCTTTATAATTAGGTATTAGTACATGAACCGAGAACTTCCAGATGTTCAAGTTGGATTTAGGAAAGGCAGAGGAACCAGAGATCAAATTACCAACATCCATTGGATCATAGAAAAAGCAAGAGAATTCCAGAAAAACATCTACTTCTGCTTCATTGACTATGCTACTGAAGTGGATCACAACAAACTGTGGAAAATTCTTTATTAAGAGACGAGAATAGCAGACCACCTTATCTGCCTCCTGAGAAAGCTGTATGCAGGTCAAGAAGCAACAGTTAGAACTGAACATGTAACAACACACTGGTTCAAAATTGGGAAAGAAGTGCATCAAGGCTGTATATTGTCACCCTGCTTATTTAACTTATATGCAGAGTACATCATGCAAAATGCCTGGCTAGATGAAGCACAAGCTGGAATCAAGATTGCCGGGAGAAATATCAATAACCTCAGATACATAGATGACACCATTCTTACGTCATAAAGCGAACAGGAACTAAAGAGCCTCTTGATGAAGGTGCAAGAGAAGAGTGAAAAAGCTGGTTTAAAACTCAACATTCAGAAAACTAAGATCATGGCATCTGGTCCCATCACTTCATGGCAAATAGATGGGAATACAATGGAAACAATGACAGATCTTATTTTCTTGGGCTCCCAAATCACTGCAGATGGTGACTGCAGTCATGAAATTAAAAGACACTTGCTCCTTGGAAGAAAAGCTATGACAAACCTAGACAGCATATTAAAAAGCAGAGACATTACTTTGCTGACAAAGGTCTGTCTAGTCAAAGTCATGGTTTTCCCAGTAGTCATGTGTGGACATGAGAGTTGGACCATAAAGAAGGCTGAGTGCTGAAGAATTGATGCTTTTGAGCAGAGGTGTTGGAGAAGACTCTTGAGAGTCCCTTGGACTGCAAGGCTATCAAACTAGTCAATCCTAAAGGAAATCAGTCCTAAATATTCAGAACTGATGCTGAAGCTGAATCTCTAATACTGTGGCCACCTAATGCAAAGAGCTGACTCATTTGAAAAGACCCTGATGCTGGGAAAGATTGCGGGCAGGAGGAGAAGGGGACGACAGAGGATGAGATGGTTGGATGGCATCACTGACTCGATGGACATGAGTTTGAGCAAGCTCTGGGAGATTGTGAAGGACAGGGAAGCCTGGTGTGCTGCAGTCCATGGGGTCGCAAAGAGTCAGATACGACTGAGTGACTGAACAACAACTAGGTATTGTGGTTAAAAGAAAAAAGTATATATATACTTCCCCCCTGGAATTTGCATTTGTCTTTCTACAGTTTCCTGTGACTTGAATTTGTCTCCATGGATGTAAACCAGAGTGACACACCTGTTGGAAGGGGATGAGGGGATCTGATCCTGTTTAGACTCAGGGATCTCCAGGATCTGGTTGTGATGCTAAAATGTGTTTTTTGCGTACCAGGATCTGGGTGTAAGGAAAAAAGTGAGTTAATCTTGCCTGGCATGACTTTCATCCTTGAACTGAGGGCTAAATACATTTCCTCCCTTTCTTCCTGCCCCTTCACCCTCCATTTTTAAAATAATTTTTATTTAGTTGTTTTTGGCTATGCTGGGTCTTCCTTGTTGCTCGTGGGCTTTCTCTAGCTGTGGTGCTCAGGCTTTATTGCAGTGGCTTCTCTGGTTGCGGAGTACCGGCTCCGAAGCACACGGACTTCGGTAGTTGTGTCCTGAGGGCTCAGCAGCTGTGGGGCATGGGCTTAGTCGCTCCGTGGCGTGTGGGATCTTCCTGGACCAGGGACCAAACTGGTGTGCCCTGCATTTCAAGGTAGACTCTCAACCACTGGACTGCCAGGGAAGCTCCACTTTCAATATTTTATTATTTTCTTTTTTTTTTCCACTCTCAATATTTTAAAAATATTTGGGGATTCCCTGGTGGTCCAGTGGCTAAGACTCTGAGATCCCAATGCAGGGGACCTGGGTTTGAGCCCTGGTCAGGGAACTAGATCTCACATGCTGCAAATACATAAATAATTTAAAAAATATTTGGCTGCACCAGGTCTCAGTTGTGGCACACAGGGTCTTCGGCCTTTGTTGTGGCATGTGAGATCTTTAGTTGCAGCATATGGAATCTAGTTCCCTGACCATAGATTGAACCGGGGCAGAAGTACCCCCAAAGCATGGAGCTGGGGGGAGGCATGGGTAAAATTCCAATTGTCAGATCCCACCTGGGGCAGGGTCTAGGAATCTGTAAACTCACCAACTTAGCTGGGGCAAGCTGGCTTTGAGTCAATGAACTAGTTCTTTCCGTTTCTTACAGATGAGGGAAGGAACTGAGGCTTGTTGAGGGAACTGCCCAAGATGCCATGGCGAATTCGGGACAGGGATGGGGATCCTGGTGCCCCTTCCCTTGGAGCAAACTGGGCAGTGCTGTGTGACACCCTCAGAACCCAGGTGAAAGGGTTAGTCACTCAGTCATACCTGACTCTTTACGACCCTGTGGACTGTAGCCCTCCTGGTTCCTCTGTTCATGGAATTCTCCTGGCAAGAATACTGGAGTAGGTTGCCATGCCCTCCTCTAGGGGATCTTCCCAACCCAAGGATAGAACCTGGGTCTCCCGCATGGCAGCCACCAGGGAAGCCCTCACACCCCACAGCCTGGTGCTAAATGAACAATGATGTCTTGTCAGTACTCAGTCCAGATTCTTGCCAGAGTAATCCTTGTCTTCTTTTTCCTTCGCCCCCTCCCAATTCCCTTGCTTTTTCTGGGTGCCCTAAGCCACAATGCAAATAAACTTGTTTTTCTCAACATCTGTGTAAGACTAGACACACGAAACTCAAAGATTGCCTCATCAGCAGGCTGCCTTACCAGAGATCTGTATCTTGTTTATTCACTGAGACAACAGGCAGGTTTGAAATCATCGGCATGGCTCTGGGATAGGTGGAGGGAGGAGGCTGCCTCTCGGCCACCTGTGGCCCATCTCCAAGGCCCCAGGACACGCTGGGAGCAGATGGTGAAGTTCAGGTCGGTCACAGTGCAGTGGCAGCCAGACCCAGGACGGGGCCTTCCCCTGCACTTGTCATCTGCTTACAAGAGACTAAAACTGAAGACACCTTGTAAGCCTGTAAGAAGCAGTTTGGGGTCTCCCAGGTGGCTCAGTGGTAAAGAACCTGTCTGCTAAGGCAGGAGATGTGGGTTCCATCCCTTTGTTGGAAAGATCCTCTGGAGGAGGGCACGGCTACCCACTCCAGTATCCTTGCCTGGAGAATCCTCATGGATAGAAGAGCCTGGCAGGCTACGTCCATGGGGTCTCAAAAGAGTCAGACACAACTCAATAACAGCAACAACAGATCCAAAGCCTATGCCTCGGGTAAGCTAAAGGATGGGTACCCTGACCCTTGCTTTCCAGAAAATATGTTTGCCTCCACTCTTACTAGGGTGCAGGGGTCCCGAGTGGTCCTGGTTGGCTCAATCTCAGGCAGTGACCAGCTCAGCTCAGTTCCTCTCCCACCCTTGCTGTTCTAGATATTGCTTCCAGGAGACCGAATGGACCTTAACCTCTGGATGTTGGCTGACCTCGAGCTGCCAGTTCCTCAGTCCAGGATGAACATGAGGGGGAGGGCTGACCCTCCTTCCTGAAGCAAGGAGGGCAGCCCTGGCCTGAGACATTTCTCATGGATCCAAATTAGACTTGGCATCCTGCCAAGGGAAGTATTGACTAACTCATCTGGTGCACGGAAGGGAAAGTGTTACACCACATGCTTCCCGCACGTCCAGCTTACAGCTCTGCCTGGCCGCTGATGGTGAAGCAGAGGAGATGGCTGTCATGGTAACTCATGCTGGGTGCCTTTAGAAGGCAAGAATGCTAAGTGGCACAGGAAGACTCTGGGGGTAAGGAGGACGTATCACGCTAAAGAGCGAACACATTTCCATATGGGATAAGCCCACACCACATATGGGTGGAGAGACATGTGGAGAACCACAGACACCCACAGGCTCTGCGCGGGGCCTGCGTGAGGAATCCCCTGTCACGGCCTTGCTTCCTCTGCGTCTGAGGTGACAGCTCCCGCTGTGCCAGGCTGCATAAACTGGGCTCCGACAGTTTGAGGTGATTGCCTTTTCCCCTTATGTCAGACTCACAAGGCAGAAGACATCCCAGAAAGCTCTGAAATTTTGTGACGATCCATGGGCCTCTGTGAGCGGCGGGTCCCCCTGAGCCAAGCTCGTCATGAAGATGGCAACAGGAGCGCCGTCTTGCTGATTCTGGGCTCCAGATGCTCCGAGTGCCATAAAACCAGGAAGAAAACGGGGAAGGGTCCAATTTCAAAGCCATAATATATTTTGCTGAAAATATGGATATGTGTGTTGCCTTCTGGACAGTGTGCTCCCCGAGGGAGAGCGGCACAGTTTATTAGGACGGAAAGGGGAACAGGAGGGTAAGGGCTTCGCTTAGTAGAAAACTCGCAGCATCGTGTGGTCCCCGGGGGGCACCCCCGGGGTCCTCGTCAAGCAGCTTCTCTGCAGCGGCAGGGGCGCCTGGTCAGCGCAGCTATAACTCATCCATCATGGCGAGCAAGTCGTCCCCCTTGCTGGCGCTCCGCCTCGACTGGTCCGTGATCTCAAACTCCCCCATGATCCGCGCCAGCTCTTGGTTCGTCTGCTGGTCCTGTGAGAGGAGTGAGAGGGAGGGAATGAAGAAACGTGTGGGCATGACGGCCTCTCTGTGCAGCTGGTGGTTCATTTTCCCACCCCCGTGATGCACTTCGGTTCCTCGCCTGTTTGTCAGGATAGGGACTATGTTACGTGCTGATTAGAGAGGAAGGCGGAGGGAGGGCCTTTGAAGTTCAATGTTATTATAAGAACAGGAGGGGAATGAGATTTGACTTGTATAATCGCCTGCACGCACCTGAGTAGCTTGGATGTTGATAACTTCGTAGGATAACTCTTCTGGCCTGGTGAGCGCTGCTTGTCTGTACAAGAGGGTCGAGAAACAGAGCAAAGGTTAGGATTTTTCTCCCTGCCAGTGTGGCAAATTGGTCCTTGATAATCTGGTAACCTATTTTTTTTTCTCTCTCTTCAACTTTCTACCCTTTCCCCCACCAATGCACCCTACGCTCTAGGAAGGCAACTCCTTCTATGTGTCTGTGCTTTTGCACATACTAAACTCTGCCAAGAATAACTTTTCCCCTTCCTCTGCTTGGCAAACTCCGAGACCCAGCTCAGTTGCCAACTTCTTCAGTCTGCTGGGGCCAAGTCAGTCCCCGTGTCCCTCACTGGAGCGCGTGTGACATGGCGCTGGAGGGACTTGTGCACGTGTCCATGCTCTTACAACGCTGGGAGCACTTGAGGACTCCAGGTGTTGTGCTCCATCCTTGGGTCCCTGTACTTACCACAGTGCCTGCCACTCCAACGGAGAGAGAAATGGAGGGCAACCAACCCCCCACCCCAAATATCTGGTTGTGAGAACAGTCGCATGAGATAATGAATGCAGAAGTTCTCTGGAAACTGTAAAGCACTGTGTAAGTCTCAGTGAATTACTACCACTATAGGTTCTGGGGGAGACTGCTCATCCTGAAGATGTCATGCTCCAACCTTCTTTTGGTTTCTTAATAGTCTTTTTTTAAATATGATTATCTTGACTTCCAATTCTCTTGAGCTGTGCTTTGCTAAATAAAACATTAGAGCTGCTTTTTGAACGAATGCAGAAGAGTCAGACTATTTAATACTAGTGGATTCTTCTTTAAGGTTGTTGAGCTTGCTGATCTTTCATTTGTGATCTTTATGTACATCTGTGTTTATAAGTGATAAGAACCACTTATTTGGTTTATGATGGTCATTTTTTGATTCTCATCACACTTGGGATTTTTATATAGGTCTTTAAAGAAACAGGTTGAAAACATACTCCTCCTCTTCATCAGTGGTGAAGAGATTCAACCGGAATCCTGGCTCAGGGCCACTGGGTTTCTGAATCCCCATGCCTCCTATCAGCCTGGCCAGGAGATTCAGCTCTTCTTTAGCAAGAGGGTTTGGAACGATGCTCTCCTGCAAAATCAATTTCATGATTTTTAGCCACGTGAAGGTGATTCAGTTCCCTGCTGATACCCCAGAGATCCAGGGTGGTATTACAAAACAAGGCAAAACAGTCACTGTCTGCATGATTTCTGGGAAGAACTGGGTCTACATGAAGCATAGAAAACAGAACCAGAAGAGAAATAACCCGGGTCAGAAGCAGAGGGACTCTAGCAAGGCGACGAGCCAGAGATTCTCACACTTTCAAGATGAGTGGGAGGCCCCAGGGATCCTCATTGTCCTCAAACCATCTTCCTCCTCGAAGGAGAACACTGCTTCCTCTTCAGGCAGTCTAGTTCCCCCAGCCTTTCCCCGTGGCCTGGGTAGAAGCCTCCAGGTCCAAGGGCACTCGTTCCACAGGAGCGACCACACTGCCCTCCGGTGGTGACCGGTGAGCACACCCTCGAATCCCTTCTCTCCCGCGGCTCCCTCTCTCATGGCCTGGCCCCACTGCAGCCTGCACCCTCTTCCTACCTGGCTCTCTCCAACCCAGCTTTTCCCCTGCTTCGTGCCCTTGTGCCTGTCTGGGCAGGTCTCTGGCCACTGCCACTATCGCCTTATGATCCAGCTACCCGAGAGGGATGCTGACTGCCTGCTTCCCCCGAGGAGCATGCCTCTGGTGCCTTTGCTGGTCCTGTTATCGTGGTTTGTGTGCCTTTTTCTCCTTCTGAGCTGTTTAGCATCTGCCTCACTCCAGAGCCCCACTTGAATGTCACCTCCTCCGAAAAGCCTTCCTGGTCCCTGTCTAGGGGTTCCTTCCCACCCCCTGGATAGGATATGTGTTCTGACACAGCTCCTTGATCAGAATGCTCAGCGAGTTCACCTTCTGTCTTCCGTCAGGTTATAGTTATTTGTTCCTATCGCTGTCTTTATAAGCCTAGGGTGTTACAAGGCCCTTCAGGATGGGAACCACCCCCGCCCCCCTCCGCCATAGACATAGTTCCATAAGTGTTTATAGCATAACTGAATAGCCATGATTTGGCCTATAGCTAGCTGATAGCTAGTTCAGTGAAAATTTGTACAAAAGAATTCAGAGAACCCAAACCCTATTTTGAACCCAACTTTCACATCATTACACAGGGAGGCAGGGAAAGGGGATGTCGTAACGATCAGATACACACAAGTGCTGAACTCAGCAGCCACGGACCTCACAGCACTGGTACAATGCTGTTTCACATGTCCTTATGTGTGGTTCCTGTTTAATTAAGGTGGTGGAGACAAGCTTAAAATTACCTAATTAGTCAGATCACTAGAAGTCTCCATGAGAAGCTGTAATTAAAAACCTGTATACTGGTAAGGCGGAATGGAGAAGACTGCAAACAAGGAGGGAACCTTGGCCAGCTCTGAACTCTAGAGACCCCTCCCTTTTCCCCGTCCAGACTCTTGTAGCTAGAAATGAGCTCTGAAGATAAACACGGGAAGCAGAAGCTCACCTGCGTCTGTGAAGCTAAGTTCTTTGATGCTGCAGACATGTGGGTTTCCACAGGCCGGTTCACGCTATACCTGGTGGCAACAGAAAACCATGAAAACATTGTCCAGGCCATTTACCCTGACTTCCCTCTAACTCGTAAATATAGTGCATAGCTTCTACCTTGAGGTATTAAAAAGCATCCAGAAAGGTACTAGGGATACAGACTATAACTAAGCGGGTGTCAACCACTCAAGTTTTGCTTCTTCCCAAAACAAAATACCTAGGAAGCTGTATGGAAATTTTTCTCTTGCCAAGTAATGTATATTTCTGGGAAAAAACATGATCGGTACATGAAGGCCAAGGCCTTTTGGGTCTCTACTGCATGAAAGGTTTTGGCTAGTTCTCTTGTATGGCTATTTTAAGGTATTTATCTTTTTGGCCTGTTAATCTACCTTCTGGTGGAAGGTCCAAGGTGCCCTTTGGAAATGTCAGGGCCCTGCGTGCCGTGTCTCTAAGGGGAAATTTCTTCAGTTGTCAGCAGGGGCTTTTCACTGCAGAAGTCTGGCCACTTTTTTAAATGAAGGGACCTCTGCTGCACTGGAATTTATTTGGGGAAGGAAGAATTTGCTTACATATTAGTTCCCAGTTTCAGGACTCGGTCTCCATAGAGCTCAAGAGACCCTTCTTTGAGGGCAGCGACATAGCTTCCACCATGCTTAAATTCTGTCTTCTTCACTTCTTCGCCTTTGCTGTTGAATGTTCTACAAGACAAAGTAGGACATGATGGGACTTCCCTGGTGGTCTAGTGGTTAGGAATTCACCGTGCAAGGCATGGGTTTGAATCTTGGTTGGGGAACTAAGATCCCATATACCACAGAGCAACTAAGCCCGCACGCTACAACTACTAAGCCTGCACGCTCTGGGCACTAAGACTAGAGAGCCCATGTCTCCACAAACGATCCCACCTGCCACAACTAAGACCTGATGCAGCCAAATAAATAAATATTAAAAAAAGAAACAAAGTAGGATGTGATGACATGCTCTCCAAGCTTGGACAGTCCCGGAGGCTTCATTATTCTTTGTACTATGGGACCAAAGGGAATTTATACATTGCTTCAAGATAAAGATGCTAGTTGATGTAATGATGTGTGTGTGTGTGTGTCTGTGTGTGTGTGTGCGCGCGCGCGCACGCGCGTGCATGCACTCAGTCTCATCTGACTTTGCAGCCCCAGGGACCGTAGCACACCAGGCTCCTTTGTCTGTCGAATTTTCCAGGCAGGAATACTGAAGCGGGTTGCCATTTCCTACTCCAGGGGGTCTTCCCAACCCAGACCCAGGATCGAATCCATATCTCTTGCATCTCCTGCATTGGCAGGTGGATTCTTTACCACTAACGCCAGCTGGGTGATAGTAATACAATAATAATGATAATAATATTTACTGAGTATATGCTATGTACTGGGTGGTGTGTAGCACTTTAGAGCATTACATTATTATTTTATTCATCCTCACAGTAAACATTCAATAGATGAAGAAATAAATCTTGGAGTATCTGCTAGGTGACAAGCTGGGATTAAACCTTACCTCCTCTCTACTGTGCTTAACTGGAGAAAGGGAGGGGCCGACCAGGTCTGCAGTCTATGTGGCGGCCCACATATTGGTTTCCCGGCATCCTGAACACTGGTCTAACAATTACCGTTGAGCATTCATTTACCTGATGAGCCCAGGGACTTCAGTTCCCCAGGGAACGGGCCCAGACGCTGGCAACACAAAGCGACCATTGGAATTCTGAACTTTGTCCTTTAGAAATATGGACACCTGGGGGGAAGAAAAAAAACTTGGTGTCATTTTCTTGGCATATTTCCATAGACATATGCATTCTGAGGATGGGAAGTGTGTAATGGCTTAAGACAAGAGAGAAAAACACACCCTAACAAACCCCTGCGGAGTCCAGTGCTTGTACAAACAGAACCTCTTTGGAGCCACATAACACATCCTGCAGGTGGGCAGTGCTGCTGTGCTGTGCTTAGTCGCTCAGTCGTGTCCAACTCATTGTGTCCCCATGGACTGCAGCCCGCCAGGCTCCTCTGTTTGTGGGGATTCTCCAGGGAAGAATACTGGAGTGGGTCGCCATGTCCTCCTAAAGGGGATTTTTCCGACCCAGGGACAGAACCCAGGTCTCCCGCATTGCAAGCAGATTCTTCACCATCTGAGCCACCAGGGAAGCCCAAGAATACTGGAGTGGGTAACCTATCCCTTCTCCAGAGGATCTTCCCGACCCAGGAATCGAACCAGGGTCTCCTGCATTGCAGGCGGATTCTTTACCAACTGAGCTACCAGGGAAGCCCGTGGTAGTGTGACCCCTACCTTCACGATGAGGAGGTTGGGGTTCACAGAGTGAAGCGACTTGACCAGAAAGAACATTAAGAGTCGGGACCAGGATTCAAAACCAAGGATGACTTCAAATTCCATGTCCATTCCTTGGTTCCTTGCAAACTCTCCATATAGATCTGAGGCTGGAGCTGTTAAGACCCTCATTATCTCCTCAGAGGTTAAGACACTCCCTCCAGGCCCGCCAGCTCATAAGGGGCAGAGCTAAGGATTCACACCCTTGTGTTTCTGACTCCAAGCTCTTAGCCAAGTGCTGGACTGGTGAGAAGGGGCCGGCCAGGTGGATCCAGCTGGCATAGAGTCTGAAAGTCTACTATGTGATGGAAAACCCCACTCTATGCTTATTTCTATTCCTTGCTTCATGTACTCTTGTATCGAGGTCTTGGTTGAATTAAATCCCATCAAGATTGTAGTAGTCCACCAGTTTTATTGGGGAGTTTCCCGGCAGTCCAGTGGTTAAGACTTGGTGCTTTCATTGCAGGGGGCCTGGGTTCAGTCTCTGGTTGGGGAACTGAGATCCCAGAAGTTGCACAGCATGGCCAAAAAAAAAAAAAAATCAGTTTCTTCTTCATCTTTAAAGTGAGATAAACTTGAAGGTTCCTTCAAACTCTTAAAATTCCACAAGATTATATCAGTAACACTGCCAAGAATAAGCATCTGTTGCACGCAAGGCAGTGAAAGTGCAAAGTGGTAAGGATGCGTACCCTGGCAGTGTGGCCTGCCGATATTACACTGTCCAGGCTCACAGCTCAGCTGGGCCTCTCCTTGACTCTGGGTCTTTTGGTAAGTTACACTACCTTTCTCTTTGGTCAACTGAGGATAGTAACAGAACCGATTCAATGGGTTAGTTGAGCACTAAATCAGATAATGAACAAAAAGTACTTTCCACAGAGCCTGACGCATAAGTGCTCAATAGAAGGTAGCTAATATTCTCAGTATCATAGTCTGATTGGATGCAGGACACAACATAGAGTGCAAAAACAATGACACTATAAGGAATGGTATGCTGCATATGCAAAGGAGCCCACTCAAGAGAATGACCACAGGCAGGGGGGTGGGTAGGGGCCATTTTGGGTTTGGAGCTGGGCCTGGAGGGTGGGTGTGAAGACACTTTAGAAACACAGAAAGTGAAAGTCACTCAGTCATGCCCGACTCTTTGTGACACCACGGACTCTACAGTCCATGGAATTCTGCAGGCCAGAATACTGGAGTGGGTAGCCTTTCCCTTCTCCATGGGATCTTCCCAACCCAGGGATTGAACCCAGGTCTCCGGCATTGCAGGTGGATTCTTCATCAGCTGAGCCACAGTGGGCGGGCAAAAAGGCATGTTTTGGGGGAAGTGTGTACACTGGTTTGGTTGGAGGGTTTGGCTTTAAGGAAATTATAACCTTGAGATTCTGTGACCACGGGATATGAATACAAGCAAGGAGGAAGAAAATTCTGAGAGAGAAGTGAGACTTTATGCATGTTTTGGACTTTCTGGTTAGTTAATTCTAACAGGGGTGACAATGTCACAGACCTGAAATGTACAGATTTAGTCAAGCATGTGTCTGGGTTTGATCTGAAGATCTGCCCTTGGCTGGAGGGGACTGTTTGGTCGCCTGCTTGCCCAGCCCCTCTGCTGACCCTCAGCTTCGCTGTGACTCTCCTGTGCCCTGTTCCTCTCACTCCAGTCTTTTTATTCCGAGTCTAGTCCCATGGGCCAGTGTTCACCTCAGTGCTGACGGCTCCCAGATCTGCAGCCTCCACTCAGTCTTCTTTCCCATCTATTCCCACTGCCTGTTACACATGGCTGTGGACCCATGGGAAGCACCGCCAGTTCACCCTGCTCAGAACGGGGCTCTGCCTGTCTTCCCTAACCTGACCCCTCTGAATGACGCCACCAGGTTATCAAGTCAGCAGTCTGGAGTCCTCTGCCCGCCACCTTCCCATGGCTATTCAGTGGCCCCACCCAGCGATCATTTCTGTGTCTGGTCCCTCCTCTCTGCCCTGCTCCCCAGCATGGACCTTCATCACCTCCAGCCTGGCCACGGCAGAGCCTCCCTGCCTCTGCCCTCAGCCGTGTTGGATCTGTCCTCCACTCTGCTGCTAGAGAGACTCTTCTCAACTCCCCTCTGACCGTGCTCCTCTCCCGCTTCGCTGGCTCAGCTGCCTGCCAGATGATGTCCAGCTGGCCCCTGATCCTCTCTGCAGCCACGCTCCTCCTCAGGTCCTAGCTTCTAGCCATGCTAGACTGCCTGCAGCCTTCCGGCCCCTGCTCTGCCAGTCATGCCAGGGGGTTACCTGATGGTGCTTTACAGGACGGTGTCCTCCTAACCCCTCCTCTTGTTTTCCCACGGTCCTGGGGAAAAACCTCTTTCCTTTAACGCTCTCGGATCCTCTGTGAAGACTCCCTGATGCCCTTAGGTGGAGGCGGCCATGCCCCACACTGTGTCCTCTCTCTTTTCTGGGTCAGAACCAGACATCCGTACGGCACTTAGTACACCTTCCCTTCTCGGATGAGGTCCTGAGGGCAGGACACGTGTTTCCTATGGAAAGACGGATGAAGGTTGCGGAGCTGCAGGGCGGGCGTGCTGGATGCCCCATGAGCGCCCACACTCCCCAGGATGATGGTGGGATTCAGGTGGCTGGGAGGAAGTGAGCCAGGGAGGTAAATGCTTGGAGAATGTGGGTGAGTGACTTGACAGTTGGTTTCAGCTGTGAGGGCTGAGTGTGGGGCTTTGGACAGTGTGATGGTTGCTGGTCTGGCCTTACAAGAGTAGGACTAAGAAAATAGCCCTGCCTCCTGTGGAGGCAGGAAAATAATGATCCGAAAGAGAGGTGGAAGCTGGTAGAATGACGACCCTGCTTCTTGCAGTCTGCCTGTGGATGAGGGAGAATGACCGGCCACCTTCAGGTGGTGAGAAGACTTTGCATATCGCCTCCCTGTTGCATGCTAGGATGCCCACATTTATGTCTCTGGTTTTGTCTCTCCCCTCTGAGCTCCAGGTTTAGGCATTCAACTACCTATTTGACTCTGCTACTCAGAGAGCAAATCGAATGTAAACAGAATTACTTTTTCTACTCAAATATCCTTCCTTCCGTCCTTCCCCTACTCAGAAAATGGCACCAGCAACCAAGTAGCTGTTCTTCATCCCTCTTTCCCTCATTCCCCACATCCAATCTCTGAGTAAATCTTATTGACCCTGCCCTGAAGGTGAATATGTGAATATTTTTCATTATCTCCACAGCAAACACCTAGTCCAAATGCTTTCATTTTTACCTAGATCTCAGTTTTTTTACCTAGATTTTATAACTGCTGGCCTCCCTCTTTTAGTTCATTTTCCAGATCCAAGTCAGATCATGTTACCAATTCATCCTAAAATGCTCCAGATCTTTTCTTTACTCTTAGGATAAACTCCTTACTAGAGTCTAAAGCTAACTCAACTGGTAGGTAGGAACCAGTTTGCTCATGACTGGCGGGTCTTCTGCTGGGTGAGCACTCACACTACCTAGGTGGTTAACTTTATTTGAATACCGCCCGAGCCTAGACATGCCCTGTTCACACAGCCTTTCTCTCTGTCCATGGAGTGTGTCGCGCTTTTCCCACCTAATGGCCTTTGAACTCACTGTCCCTTCAGATTAGAAGCTCTCCCCTGAGATCTTTGTTAGTTACACTCTTAGCTGAAATGTCAATCCTCAGAAAGGCTGTCCTTGCCTCTACCATCTAAGGATATACTGCCCAGTAAGGTAGCTATTAGTCAAGTGTGACTATTTAAATTTAGATTAAATTAACAATTCAGTTTGTCTGTCTGATGACCCATGTTTCAAGTACCCAACAGCCCTATGGGGCTGGTGGCTCTCACGGTGGACAGCACGGATACAGAACACTTCCATCATGACAGGAAGCTCCGTTGGACAGCACAGGTCGGAAGCAACATCCCATCCCAGTTCCCTCCTGTAACTTGACCTTACAAGGCCATCTTCCTGAGAATGATCAGAACTGGAACACAACTTAACGTGTCCTCGTGGTCCCTTCCTACTGGTATGGAGCTTTGTCAGGGCAGGGCCTCTGGCTCGTTCACTTCTATATCTCAGGACCGAAAATGATCTGGAGTGGAGCAGGCACTCGGTACATATTTGTTAGACTGACTAGTTTTCCAGGGATGCAGTGTTTCCAAGTGGAGTGGATAGGAGTGGAGCTGTAAGGACCAGGCTGTGAAGAGGTGAAGATTTGTTCGGGAGAGGGTGGGTGACCTGAGGGTCTGCCCTGTAGGAGGCAACTCTGAAGGCGCTCTGGAGGGCTGAAGGGGTTGGGACTTGAGATGTCTGCACATAACTGCTCTGATTCCATATGGAATCAGTCTCTGTGCAGCCTCTGGGGCCTAGGGCACAGGTCAGGGCCTTGACCATATTAAGGCCACTTCAGGCTGCTTTTGTTTTTAATCTTTATTTACCATTATTTGGCTGCTCTGGGTCTTAGCTGCGGTACATAGGATCTTCAGCTGTGGCATACAGGATCTAGTTCCCTGACCGAGGATGGACCCTGGGCCCCCTGCATTGGGAGTGCAGAGTATTGGTCACTGGACTGCCAGGACAGTCCCACGTCAGGCTGCTTTGTGATATATCACAGAAAGCTCTGGACGTTAGGATGTGGAGTCTTGTATTTGCTTTGGTTAAACAATGAGCAACGGAGTGTTAGGTCAGAGCTGTGTTTTCTTTATTTAGTTGGTTGGTTTTGCTAAACAATCTAAAAACTACCAAGATTGTTTTGAACACACAGAAAATCTGTATAGGCAATCAAAAAGAGCAGCTGAGCAGAAATACCATTAAAGGCCAGATTTGGAAAAGCAGCCAGATGTTACAGACCAGAGGCTGAGTAATGTCAGGATATGTGATTCCTATTTCTCTTGATGAACATTCTGATGTTTTATTGCCTGCCCATTTAGCAATGAAAGCTTAATGTAGTTTGTGGTTTAATATATTTTAATGATTTTGTTATAGACTTATTATTAAGAGTCTTCTCATCATAATGAATTTCATCTAGCCAGAACTGAGAAATCAATATGGCTGCTTGTATTACAACGATCCATAAAATATTGTCCAAATATGCACAGGCTTGACAGCCATAAGATGCAGGGTTTTCAGTATTTTAAAGTAATGTAAAACTTAATCTTATTTGTACTTTCACACTTTAAATTTTAATTGATGACTATTAGAGATCTTGATTTACATCGATGTTATTATTGCTCCATCCATAGCAAATGAAATTATTCATGAGGGTTAAAAATAAAATCGGCCTCAGCATTGTCATCTATTTGTCTTTCCCTGTTCATAGGAGGGAAATAACAAGGTTCTAAGTATATTTTATATATTTCCTTTTTATTTTTTGATTTAATATTATTATTATTTTCTGGCCATACTGAGCAGCATGTGGGATCTTAGTTCCCCGATCTGGAATTGAACCTGCGCCCTCTGCAGTGGTCCCTATTTCTCTTAAAAAAAAAAAAATTCTGTGAATATGTTACACATGAACATGTTCAAGATTCAAAAAGTTCAAAGAGTGGGACTTCCCTGCTGGTCCACTGGTTAGGACACTGTGCTTCTACTGCAGGGGGCACGGGTTTGATTCCCTGGTCAGGAAAACTAAGATCCTGTGAGCTTCTCAATGTGGCCAAAAAAAAAAAAAAATAAGTTCAAAGAGTATACAAGGGAAAGTAGGTCTCTTCTGCATCCCTGTCCTCCATGCACTTCCCCACCCCCAGGAGGCAACCACCACGACCAGGTTCCTGTCCCTCCTGCCAGAAGCACTCTATAGTATATACATATATATATGCAAATACATATGTTACATGTGATGCTTCACTTAATCCTCCTGACAAACTCTAAACCAGGTATTACTGTTTCCATTTCTCAGATGGTGAAACTAAGGCCACAGGGAAGTAATTTGCCCAAAGGTCACGGAGCTGTGCTGGAGCTGGGATTCAAACAGGAGCGCCTGACTCTAGCAGCTGGGCTCATGGTGGGTGTCTGTCCTGTACCAAAGTGCTAAATTATGGGAAGGAACAAAGTCCTGGCCAAGAGAGACAGGCCCCAAAGTCAGAAGCTCAGACATGTGGTTTTTCAAACTTGGAGTGTAGAATTGTCTGGAGGAGGTGTGAGAGGAGGTGGTAGGGTCAATTGCGAGGCAAGGGCCAGTAAAAAGTATGAAGGCCTGAGCTGAGCGACTGGAGTGGACAGGAGGGCATGGATATTGAAGAGGCAGACTTGATGGGCTGCAGACACAGTCACATGAAGATCAGAGAAGGGAAACCAAAGGTGTGATGGCCTGGGGCTGAGCCAGATGAGTGAGGGAATGGTGGTTCTCTCAAAAGAAACCAGGAAGTTAGGCAGGACTTGAATTCTGGAGACTCGTTTAACTGCAGACATGAGGCTGTGGGCACTGGGGGAACTTTTCAGCAGCAGGTGGAGAGGTGGATCTTGATGGCAGGGCTGGGGCAACGGGGATGCAGAGTTTTGAAGTAGGAGTCACCACAGATAGAGGAGTTAGTTGGCAGCCGAAGTGGGGAGGAAAGTGACTCAAGAGCAGGGGGTGGGTAGAGGCAGAAGGGGGAAGGCTTGGAGACAGGAGGAGGGGAACAAGGACTAAAAGGCAGAGAGATGGGGGAGGTTAGGGAAGGCCGAGATGGGGACAGTTCCATGGAGCAAGAGGGACGCCTCCTGACAGCTCAGATGCTGAAGTCAAGGTGATAAAGGCTGCAGAAAAGGTTTTGGAATTGAGATCAGGCTAGGGGCCTGGAGAAGCAAGGGAAGAAGCCATATTTTAAAGAAATGTACAGAAGGTAACTGGGAGGGAATGGTGGTATCACTGTCCTGCTTGGGCCCTTGAAAAACTGCAGAGATTTATCATCAGACAGCTGATCATCATGGAACCAAACACCGAGGACGTGCTAATGGGGCGGAATCCCAGCCTTGTCTGCCCTGACGACTCGTGTCCTGTCTCGTGAGGACGGCAGCGCAGGGCGCTCCCGAGCCACCCACTCACTCACCCGGATGTGCAGGTCCTGGAAGAAGATGAGGAGTGTCTGTCGGATCAGCTGGAACTCCCCCGCAGAGAGGCCCCCGTATATCTGCGCAGGCAAAGCAGAAACAGGCATTCCGCTTTCAGAAGTGAGATGGGAGACTGTGGACAGGCAGGGGTGGGGAGGGTGGGTGCCCAGACATGGAGCCAGAGGGCAAGGAGAAGACTCAGTTGCTGGGCGGGGTGGAGGGGCAGGAGGGGAATACCACCCCTCCTCGTCGCCCCCCCGACCCCGTCCCCCCGTCCACCCAAGGGGCACACCCCACCGCAGCACACCGAGGGAGGCGCACTCTGCCTCTCCCGTTCCCCAAGATTCCGCAGAACCTCTACTACCAGCTCCCTTTCAGAAAAGTTAGACAAGAACTGCTATGTTCTGTGCTGCTGCTTTCCCAGGGATGAAGGCCCCAGTGAGAGGGCATCAGATGAAACATCTCTTGTGTTACCAAAATGGATCCCTGAAGATTTTAGAATTTTCTGGGATAGTGGCCGGGTGGGTCATTCCCTGTCCTGTTTCCTTTATCATAGAATCTGCCTCTCCTTAACAGGGGAATGAGAACGATTTTGGGGGCTGAGAGGATGCACACCGACAGCCCGCTTACATCAGTCAGCTGCCGGAACGTCTCGTCCACTTGATGAAGGATGGTTGGGGAATCTTGGATGAGTCCCTTGATGGCATCTAAGTGATTGAAAGTGACCAGCAGCACATCCTTGGGACGAGGACACAGCAACACTTGATACTTGAAAGCCATCGTCATCAGGTCGTAGAGCTGCCAACCCACACGTGAGCAAAAGAAACAGGACCTTATATAAGAGCAGGCCTCAGAACGTCCAACAGTGATTCAGTACCGGAAACCAATTCAGCGCTTACCACGCAGCTCAGTGACCACATCACGCAAACCAAGACACTGCTGAGAGGGAAAGGGGGTAACGGTAACAAGCTGGGACAATAGCAGTAAACCAGGACATTCCTGGGCAGACCAGGATTTCCGGTCAGCATATGTGTGGTGTTGATGGAATGCATATGAAACAATACGGGCAGCTGTGGGGCCCAGGACTGGGTTCCTGGCTTGGAGAATAAAAACCCAAATTCAAGCCCTCCTTGCTGCTGACTTGTTGGATGTGCTGCTGCTGTGCTATGCTCAGCTGTGTCCGATCCTCTGCGGCCCCTGGTGTGGACTGTAGCCCGCCAAGCTCCCTGTCCCAGGGATTTTCCAGGCAAGAATACTGGAGTGGGTTGCCCCTTCCTACTCCAGGGGATCTTCTTGACCCAAGGATTGAACCTGCATCTCCTCCATTGCAGATCCTTTACCTACTGAGTTACCTGGGAAGCCTGGATTTTTTGGAGAGCCCTGGCCAAGTCTCTTTGCTTCTCTGAGCCTGAGTTTTCTCATGTGTAAAAAGTATTCCCTAGCTCCTCAACGTTGCAGAACTGCTGAGAGATGTCAATGGGAAAACACACGTGAAAGTGGCAAGACTAAGGTTCCATGACTGTATGAGATGAATAATGGAACTTAATGGGATATCAATAAGATCCACGAATGGTATGGCCATTCATGAAGATCAGAGGTGAGATGCTGGTGAGGACCAAAGTGGTCATGATGGGCTTTGTGGAAGAAGTGGGCCTGATACAGACTTGAGGCATGGTTCTAACTGGGTAAGGGAGGGAAAAGACGGGTGGTAGGGAAGAGCATGCTTGAGGGTCCAGAGGCGAGCCGTGGGCTTGCTGTTTTCCTGGCAGAAAGAGTAGACCAGCTTGACTCGAGGGGCTGGTCTGTGTTGGGGGTGGTGGGAAATAAAGCTGGATAATTATGGCAAGGTTAGAATATTAAACGTTTTTGAAAGATGGACAAAATAATTTAGACTAGATGTGGTAGGAATTAGGGGACTACTGAAATTTTCTGCGCTGATGTGATAAAAGTGGTAAATAAACAAGATTAGTGAGTCTGGCCATGATGAGATGTGTGAGAAGGGAGAGGCTGGAGTGAGGGCAGATAGCTGGTGCCTGGCTCCTAGGAGAGTGGCAATAACATGATTGTAAGAAAGAAATAAATGTTGTTGGAGAAACCCGGATGGAAGGTCTGGAAGAAAGATGGTGGGGAAGGATGAGGCAGGGAAAAGGAGAGACTGACACTCAGGAGAAAGGCTGTTAGTACATGGTGACTGCCTGATTGGATTTGGGGGACAAAGATGAGGGCTGTCCAAAATGACCACAGTATTTTCAACATGGTGCCTGGGAAATGCATGATGCTACATGACGCTACTGATGGAGGCAAGTTTGGGAGAGAAGGTATGGACATGTCTGAGGCAAGACTGAAAGTTAAATCACCTGAGGGCTTTGCGGAGCACACAGATGTGCATGACCTCAACTAATCCTGTTTAATTTCACAAGGACTCTATGTGTGTGTTCAGTTCAATTCAGTCACTCAGTCGTGTCTGACTCTTTGCGACCCATGTATGTGTATGTATGTACGTGCTAAGTCACTTTAGTCGTGTCCGACTCTTTGTGACCTATAGACCATAACCCACTAGGCTCCTCTGTCCATGGATTCTCCAGGCAAGAATACTGAGGTAGGTATTATACCAAGTTTAAAAATGAAGAAAGGTGCCTAATTTCACATGGCTGGTAAAAAGCAGCAGGGTCAGATTTGACAGTTGGATCCTGAAGCATTTGCTAGAACCCTCTACATGATCTCCTTTCTCCAACATGCAGCTAAACATTTCACTGAGAAAGTGCCTGCCTACATAGAGGGGTGGGGTGGTGGGGTGGCGGGGTGGGAGAGAGGCTCAAAAGGGAGGAGATATACGTAAACATATGCTGATTCATTTTGTTGTACAGAAGAAACTAACAGCATTATAAAGCAATTATATCCAATGATAAAATTAAAAAAAAAAGAAAGTGGCATACAGCAGGAGCTGTCTTGGTTTGTGTGTGTGTGTGTGTGTGTGTGTGCGCATGTGCAGGCTTGTCTAATACTAGAGACGTAGATTTCAGACTCTCAGCCATCATCATCAAACATTAAGTCCTGTTGTGTACAGGACACTGTGCCAGGAATAAAGGATAAAAACAGGTATAAAATGAAGAAATGAAAGTTCAGAGTTATTCAGTGAATTGAGTCTCACAGCCATTGGTAGAACTAGGACTCAAACCCAGCCTTTTTTTCTAAATTCTGCATCCTTTCTCAGTGGAAACTTCAACTTTCTTAAAGGCAGGGGGAGAGGAACAGAGAGGAGAAGATACTGGACATTTACAGAACATCTATGTGCTGAGCTTTCCTGTGTCATTATATGTATGTTTCTCACTTAATCCTCCCTGTAACTAATGAAGTAGCTGTTATTATCCCCATTTTATAGATGAGAAAACAGAGGCTCAGGGAGCTAAAGCAACTTTCTAAAGGTACCTGGCAGGAGGCAAAGGGAGCAGTTAAAGGCAGTCTGTCTCTCTGAGGTTCCCAGGTGCCAGCAATGAGACGGTGCTGCTTTTTGCACACCTGGCACCCACTGTCAGGCCTCACGATTTATAAAAATTTACATAATAAAGGGACTTGAAAAGGGGTTCTTATTAACATTATTTCACATTGCAGGCAGATTTACCAGCTGAGCCACAAGGGAAGCCCAAGAATACTGGAGTGGGTGGCCTGTCCCTTCTCCAGGGGATCGCCCCGACCCAGGAATCGAACCAGGGTCTCCTGCATTGCAGGTGGATTCTTGACCAATTGAGCTATCAGAGAAGCCCTGTTATTCAGATTAGTTTCTTCTAATGTCCTACTTCAGTTCCATTTCCCACATTCTATTTAGTCATCATGGTTCCTTAGGCTCCTCTTGGCTGTGACAGTTTCTCTAGTTTTCCTTGTTTTTGGTGGCCTTGATGATTTCAACGACAGGTCAGGTATTTTGTAACATGACCTCCGAATGGTTATTTGTCTGCTGTTTTTCTTCATGATCAGCCTGGGGTTGTGGGTTTTGGGGAGGAAGATCACAGAGGCAAAGCGTTATTCTCATCTTGTCATGCCAGGATACCACCACATGGCTGATCACTGCTGATGTTATCACCTGGTTGAGGTAATATTTGCCATGTTTCTCCACTGAGAAGTTAGTTGTTCCCCTTCCCCCTCTTTGCATACTGTCTTCCTTGGAAGGAAGTCACCAAGTGCAGCCACATTCGGGGAGTGGGGAGTTCTGCTCTCTCTCCCTGAAGGCGGGGAATCTATGTAAGGTGTCTGGAATTCTGATGAACAGGAGAGCTATCTGTTCTCTGCCATTATTTATTTGGAATTATTCCTTTTAAAATCAGAACCCTAAAAAATTGTTGCACAAAGAAACAGATATGTTTACATTAGAAGTAGAGACTGAGAGGTTTTGAATTTGCTCTTTAAAAAATGCCTGGTTTGCAGAGCCGAGATCTGTTAAGAAGGAAGCAGAATTAAGCAGGGTTGGGTGCTTGTGCTGGACTGTTGTTCACCCAGTTGAGTCTGACTCTGTGACCCCATGGACTGCAGCACGTCAGGCCTGCCTGTCCCTCACAATCTAAACATGGACATGCAGACCAGCACTCTCTCTGGGTGATATAATGACATAAACTACAGAGGGGTTTGAAGCTCCAATATTTGGCCACCTGATGTGAAGAACTGACTCAGTGGAAAAGACCCTGATGCTGGGAAAGGTTGAAGGCAGGAGGAGAAGGTGATGACAGAGGATGAGATGGTTGGATGGCATCACCAACTTGATGGATGAGTTTGAGCAAGTTCCAGGAGTTGGCAATGGACAGGGAATCCTAGTGTGCTGCAGTCCATGGTCACAAAGAGTCGAACATGGCTGAGAGACTGAACTGAACTGACCAGAGGGGTTGGTGTGGATGACTTCTGAGGTCCTTCCCAACTTGAAACTCAAGAACAAGCCATATTAACACGTGCCTGTCTTTTGCCATGCACCACTGCACACATCATCTCCTCTGACTCCAGTCAGTGGTTAATACATAAGAAACGCAGCCCAGGGAACGGAGGCAGCTGCTCACCTTATCCATGCTGGCCTGGTTCAGTCTCATGATGGAGGCGTGAGCCAGGCGGTCGTAGACAGTCCTCAGGGCCTTCTTGGAGTAGAGCTCTTGGGGTTTGAACAATTCCTCCATGAACTTTCGATTGAACATGGTTGAAATGATGTCATTCATAACTGTAGAGACAAGAGAGGATGCAGGTGAGCAAAGCACATGTGGTAGCTTTATCTAGGAAACGCTCCGTGTACAGATGGAATGGACGGGCGGGGCCTATGTAGTATGGGGATGCAGTGTGCTTGGAGACCCGCTTCTTGGGGAGAAACCCCACGTGTGTCCCAGTGGAGAGCAGGGTCCAGAGTGCCTTATGAGCCCATCTTAGGGCAAACATACACGTGGCAATGTGCTGTGGTTCAAACATAACAACATTTCACTTGATGATAGAGAACATATTTATTCTTTCTTTAAAAAAGATTTCTATTAACATTGTAGATTAGATATCCACCTCAAAATGAGAAACAGCATTGCCTTTTCTGTTTGTTTAGCAAGCCTATAACATTTTTACTTTAAAATTTTATAAAGTGGGACCTATAATGGCAATTGACTTTTTTCTTTTTTTCTAAAACAGTTTACACAAATAGACACGGGGCCTACCCACTGGTTAGAGATTAAAACTTTTTCTAGTGTTTCTATAAGATGTGTACTTCAGATTAACACCATTTGCTGCTGCTGCTGCTAAGTCGCTTCAGTCGTGTCCGACTCTGTGCAACCCCATAAACGGCAGCCCACCAGGCTCCCCCGTCCCTGGGATTCTCCAGGCAAGAACACTGGAGTGGGTTGCCCTTTCCTTCTCCAGTGCAAGAAAGTGAAAAGTGAAAGTGAAGTCACTCAGTCGTGCCTGACTCTTCGAGACCCCATGGACTGCAGCCCACCAGGCCCCTCCGTCCATGGGATTCTCCAGGCAAGAGTACTGGAGTGGGTTGCCACTGCCTTCTCCATAACACCATTTGAGGATGTCTTAATTTCTCTATGTGATCTATAATACTGATATCACACTGCAGTGACACGTCCCATACTGATGGAAAATTTCCAGGTGGCGAGAATAAAAGGTTCTAGTGTGTTTAGTCGTTTCAGTTGTGTCCAACTCTTTGCAACCCCATGGACTGTAGCCTGCGAGGCTCCTCTGTCCATGGGGATTCTTTCCAGGCAAGAATATCGGAGTGGCTAGCCTATTCCTTCTCCAGGGGATCTTCCTGACCCAGGAATCGAACTAGGGTTTCCTGCATTGCAAGTGGATTCTTTACCAGCTGAGCTACCAGGGAAGCTAAGGTGTGTGCAATAGGAAGAAGAAAACCTTATAGGAAGAAGACCTATAATTCTAGGTCTTCATTCACTCATTCATTTAGATATTTTGTGCTACTCAAATAACATTATTTGAGGGCTAGGAAAACCATTTGGTACAAGAAATAGAAACAGATATGGTTGAACACAGATCATTCTTAATTAAGCCAGATATATTCCTGCCTAAAGGTGACTGTATATGGATGCTGAGACAATACACTTATAGTAATTAAAATTTGAAAGAAAACTTGTTACTTAAAATAATTATACAAAATCACATGAATGATTATTGCTGAAAGATACAGATCTCTCTTTCTCTTGCCACAAAAAGGACATGGCAGGTGACCCATAGTCGGCCTTGTGTCTTAGAGAGTAAAGCAAGGTCATGATTTCAGACATTCTTTCTACCTATAAGTAACTGATAGAAGTACACTGAGGGCTCAGGCCAGCATTTTAAAGCATCTCAAAGAGCAATTTTGGGGAGGAGCGGGGAGCTGAGGGCTAGCTGTACTTAAACGGAAGGGCTATAGAGAAAGGCAGGGAGAGAAACATCCCCCACCCCCACCCTGACACGAAAGAACAAACAGTGTGACTGCTTTCAGAAGTACTGGACTCACACTTGACCTCTGTATTTTACTCTAGACCCCACCCCGTCAGTGAGGAAGAAGCAGATCCATTCCAACACAGGGTATCCATCATATCAGACAGTTTCAGCCCAGGCACTAACCTCTCCCCACTGTGGACAGCCTGGAGACCCATGAACTCCTCTGGGTTTGCCTCAAGCGTGGCCTTTGGCCTTCGATCTAAACAAGCAAGGGTCTGCAATAAATTGGGCTTTCTGACATTTTTCTTACTGCAGCCTATATAAATGTAGAGTTTGTATGGAAATAGCTACATGTGGAAAGCCACATATAAGGCCTCAAAAAAAGAGGGAATTTGAAGAATTTTCCACAGGTTTATGGAGGCCAGGGAGGAGTGCCAAAGAGGAAGAACTCACATTAAAGAATCGCATCAGCTCTGATTATGTTCACTATTACAAAGAGCTCCTGTTCACTGAGGTGCCGAGTCATGTCTCTAGGGTCTTTGAGCCTTTGGCAAGATCTAGGAAAATAGCTTAGACCCAAATAAGTCAGTTCTAAAAAGCCCCAAGGTGATTGTCAGCCACTCTGGCAAAGTAAAAAGCAAAGTGAAGCCTTTTCTTTCGGAAGTGAATAAGCTCTGTATCACCATGGCTTCTTGCATAAGAGCTTCCAGAAAGTTCTCCTGCCAGGAAGAGAGTATGGCAGGCCCTGTCCCTGTGGGCAGAGCAGGGAACACAAATGCCCCCAAGGGGAGATGGCAATTTTGCAGTTGGGTCCTGGCACCCAGGGCACCCACCTTGGTTTAATTTTTTGGAAGGAGCACGGGGGCACAAATTAACATGCTTACACCTCACAGTGTGCTTCAGCTGGCACTTGCTGCGGCAGAGAGGAAGTGAATGTTATCCTTGCCCAAGAGTAGCAGCCCACACCATATTTAAGCTAAGCCTGAGCAGTTTTTTTTTTTTTTAAATAATATTTATTTTCTTTGGCTGCATCTTAGTTGCAGCATGCAGGGTCTTTCATTGTGGTGCACAGACTCTCTGGCTATGGTACTCGACGGGCTCAGTAGCTGTGGCATGTGGGCTGAGCTGCTCCGCGGCACGTGGGATCTTAGTTCCCCGACTGGGGATAGAACCCACACCCCCTGCATTACAAGGTGGATTCTTAACCACTGGACCACCAGTGAAGTCCTCTGAGACGCTTTAACCTGATCTGTAAGTTAGTCTTGGTGTTCGTTTTGGCCCTCACATGAGCTCGGCATACTTGCATGAGGCAGAAATGTGCTAGGAGCCAGATTTCATCAGGAGACTAACGCCAGGTGTATGGAGAGGTGGTTTTTCATGGGTGCACTGGAAGGGTCAGTAACTGAGCTCTTAATGTATCAGGCTTCTAATCCTGGGTTTGGATTATGAAGTCAGTTTCTGCTTATTATTTTTGGATATATAAGATAAATTCCAGTGATTCAGTTACTTACATAAAAAGTCTTCAAAATCCATACTTCTCACCTGAAATTCTGCAGTGCATCAAGAGGTGGGCCAAAAATTGCTTAAGAGAAGTGGTGAAAGACGGTTGTGAAACATTATAAAACTTTACCAACCACTTCGATTGGACTTTTCTTCGAGCCTGGCCTGATGAAATAATTCTCTTGATGAAAGCAACTGCATTTTTAACTAGTACTTCTGCTGTAAATTTTATTGTTTATGGGGACACACAACTTGAAACCAAGAGTAAAAAAGAGAAGCTACTATTTCTGGGTGGTTACCATGTTTTGAAGCCTTATTATGTTGCAAGTTCTGGGCTTAGAACTTTCCATTCATTATCTCATTTAAATAAATAATCAAATGATTTTGAAGGGTACCCTGCTCCCCATCCCCAGTTGCTAGGGCTTTGAAAAGAAAAAGAACAGAGATTCAAGAATACTCAAGTTTCCTAAAACCAAGGCAAACCTAATCAGACTATAAACCAATTTAAGAAACTGAAATGATAGCAAACAAGACAAAAGGTCCAGCAAATGCTGGACAAAGCATTTGCTGAAGTATTACCCTACTGTATTGAAGGGGAAAACTGAGTTTTCGAGAGGTTAAAGTCCAAGGTCACATAGGACGGGGTGGAGCTGAAATCGGAACGGGCTGTTTGATTCTAGTGCCTGTGCTCTTAAATATTACACATATTATCTCCTCTGCATTATTAGTGTGGAGAGAGGACTTAAAACATCGAGGCTGATGGCTGATGACATGCATAACCTGTACCCAGGGTCAGATGATGACATTTAAAGGTGAGAAAGGCGGAGGTTTTATTCTGAGCGATTAACAGCTTTCTCAGTGTGCTCTTGGTTGTAGGTGAGGGGGAAACTGAAGATCTGGCATGATAAGACCACAGTGCATGCGTGTCATGCCTTCTGTGCCCAAGCCTGACGGCCATGCAGCCACATGCTTCCACGTTTCTCAGTTGCTCAACAGATATCTCTGTGTGCTCAGAACAGCTCTTTGGCTATATGATGCTATCACAGAATTGTCTAAGGACGACTAAATAGGACAGGCCACCTGGAAATGTAGCTATTGTCCCAGGTGTCCTTGCCAAACTTGGAACTGTGAAAAAGGACAAATACCTCAGGTGCAATATGGTCCTTTGACTAATGTTTGCTTGGTTTTCATCTTTCACGCTGTATTTAAAAGATTCAACTGTATAACCAATGTCTCAGCTAAAGAGAAACTCATGCCTATTCTTTTACTTGGAAATGTCTAGAGTGGTCCCACTCTAAGCCTCACTGAGGAAGGACTGGGTGAACCTGTGGATGCAGACTGAATACATGCAGCCCCAAGATAGCATACCTCGTTTTCTGTCCACCTCTGTCCATTCATCTACATGAAGCATATAAAAAGAAAACACCAGTTCATGAAGCAAGAATGTTATTTTCAATGAGGCTTTAAAAATACCAATTCCAATGATCTGGCTTATGAAACTTTATTTTTCATGTTTGCATTAATGTTTTAATGCAAATACTCTGCCTTCCATTTGGAGCTTTTAAAAGGCTGATGGATAAATAACAAGTTCCAGAAAAGCCCTAGGGAGGCTGTATCTTATAGAAGAGCGTGGCCCAGGAGGAGAGGAAGCTCAGGAGGATGAGATACCCTGGGGTTTACCTTGCAAGGTTCAAGAAGCCATTCTCTCTAATGCTCTGAGAGTAGACATCATTCAAAATAAGGCTTTTAAAAACACTAACTTCCGCAAGAAAGAATAATCCTGAGAACAGGTACAGAAAGAATTTTCTTTCTTTACAACCTGATTCTCTTATTAATGTAAGAGTTCTCTTTCTAGAATACAGAACTACTCATATTAAAAAAAAAAAAAACTAGAAAGATAAATGAACAGAAAAAAACTATTTGTTTCTGATTTACCTTTTATACAGAGAGGTGTGACTTCCATGTAAAAAGAGGGAAATAATGATGGGACCACTGTACAGAAAGCTCCTGAGGACAAAGGTAGACAGGGAAATGCCAAGAAGAGACCAAATAAGGAAAAATGTACTTGGCTAGAGAAATCTGTGAGAATCATGACCCTTTAATGGGCTGAGACCTGGCTCTCCTGTTTACCAGCTGTGTAACTTCAAGCAGCTTGTGTAACCTCAGTTTCTTCATCTGTGAACTGGGGATCATAATTGCACCCACCCGGTAGGGTTGCTGTGGGGATAAAATAGACACATCAAACACTTTTCTGACTTCTCTCCTAGTTCTGCTTTCTCTACTTCAGAATTTGGGGCACCACCCATAAAAGGCTCGTGATGAATTTTTTTCTTTCCTTGATTTTTTTTGGGAGAGATTTCAATCTAAAACCACCCACAGATAAACAGAGATCTACACACAACCACATTTTACAAACATTTTGTAGTTTGGTGTATTTTGGGAACATTTGCACTAAATTGTTTGAGACGTGACTCCTGAGGTTATAACGTGCATAGTATAATATAATTAGTACATGCTGCTGCTGCTGCTGCTAAATCACTTCAGTCGTGTCCGACTCTGTGCGACCCCATAGACGGCAGCCCACCAGGCTCCGCCATCCCTGGGATTCTCCAGGCAAGAGTACTGGAGTGAGTTGCCATTGCCTTCTCCGAATTAGCATATATGTGCCTTCACTATGCAATGCTGACAGCTCCTAAGAGACCCTCCTGAAAGCACAAAGAGTGCCACGTCCTGCCTAGCTGCAAAGGGTTCCTACTGCAGGGTCAGACTCCTCTGGGGAAATTCACCATCTTTCTCCCACAGAGTTACAGGGTTCCGGAGAGAAAACACCGGGGAAGCAGCACCAAGACACTAGCCTTCTTTAAGCAGATGCTGCCTTCTTTGACATAATGTCCACATCTGTCATTTCATGGCATTTATTTTACAGGCGGTCTTGCCTGATAGGCTCGTGGGAATTCAGAGAGATAGAGCTGCAACTCTCTTGAAGGTATATTTGACAACAGAGGGGCTGCCAGGGGCTCACCTACCCTAAGGGAGAGTGATTACCTGCTGCTGACAACAAAAAAAAAAGAACTGGCCAACACATGCCCAGGGCTACCAGGCATTCTTGCAGGCAGTGTCGTTTGGCTCCAGCAGAGGTTGCTGTCGAGCTGTGTGTGCTCCTGGCCCTTTTCCTTCTGAGGATCCCGGGAAGTTAAAGGATGACTTGTTTGTGACAATTCCACTTTACTTATATTTTGAATGGGAGGTAGGCTCAAGGCTTATTCAGAGCCTCCTGTTAAATTGGAACTATAAAATAAATATAGTATCTCACAGCACTTGGTTGCTCAGTACTACTCTGTGATCTGCATATCTTGGGAAAATCACTTAATGGCCCCATGCCTTAGTTTCCCCTTCTGTCAAATGAGGAAGGCAAACAAATGGTAAAGAGGGCCTTGCTTATGAGTATCTGTAAGAGGGTGAGTGAGTGAGTGAGTGAGTGAAAGTTGCTCAGTCGTGTCCGACTCTTTGCAACACCATGGACTATACAGTCGATGGAATTCTCCAGGGCAGAATACTGGAATGGGTAGCCTTTCCCTTATCCAGGGTATCTTCCAGGAGTGAGGTGAAGGCAACTTTTATTATTCTGGCAATTGCTTAAACGTGGGACCTCATTCAGTATGCAACAGTCAGAGGTTGCCCCATAGAGACAGCACTTCCTTTCTGTTGAAGGCTAAACTAGAGTGAGCTGCCTTCTGGGGAGAAACTGCAAGATCAGCCCTGTACTTCAGGGATGGGCTCCAGGAGACCAATTAGTTGTGTAAGACAGTGAAAGCTTCTAGAAGAAACATGGTTTCCACCCAGAGCTTCAATGAGGACTAGTTGACTGTTTTGAATCTCACACCCTCTGCCCTGTTTTCTCATTCTATTTTCTGCATGTCCTCATCAACCAACTACTTTCTGTCATTTCTTTGATGAGACCAGTGGGTATCCTGAATTTTTTTTCCCAAGCCTCTCCCTCTCCCTCCCAACCTTCCAACTCCCTCCCCACCCCATTCCCGCCACAAAGATTCTGCTGTAGTCCCCTACAGGGCAGCCGTGAAGGTTGTGGATGAAGAGTATGAGCTCTGGAGCCTGATGACCTGGGTTCAAACACATTACTCTTCCTTCTTACCAGTTATGTAAACCTGAGCGAATGAACCTCACTTTCCCCATCTGTAAAATGGGGATAGTAGTACTACCTACATAATAGGATAGTTGTGGGGATTAAGGTGTTCAGAGAAGTCCAAGGTATGTGGTTAAGTACTTAATAGCTGTTTGTTGCTATTGCATTAGGAAGACATATCCCCCAGGTTTAGAATCAGTTATTGGACAGACTGATCAAAAGCCCTACCTCCAGAGGATGCAGAGAAGGGCCGCATGAGGCTCTGCCCAGCACCTCAATGGCATCTGACACAACTCAACAGTGGAAGGAAAGTGTTTGAATGTGAATTACAGAAGATGGCTGAAACTCCGATGCCACCTCTAGCAAACCCAGGACTGCAGCTCCTGAACACAAAGGAAGCCAGTCCCCTAGTATAATCACAGGATCTTGCCCAGACTGCCTCTTGAAAGACCATACCTGCTACTCATTGTGTTAAACATTTAAGTATGTCACCTCAATCGATCTTACAATTGTGAGGTATATTTTATTATTCCCCTTCTAGGGAGAAACAAACAGGCATACAGAGTTTACAATCCAAGGTCATACAATTAAATGGCAAAGCTGGAATTGGGAGCTCTATCTGTATGACTCCAGAGAGCATGTTCTTAAGTGCTAATGTATCCTGCCTTCCAAGACTGCAGACCACCAGTGCAAGCACAACCTATCAGCTCACTGGTGCCAAAAGCCCAAATGAAATCACTTAACATAGCATCAAGGAAAACAGAACCCTCTTGAGGGAAAAACAGCAATGTAATATCAAACAGCAGTTCAACAAACATTTACTGAGCACTAGTTTATTCAGTTGTAGGCATTATGCTAGGCGCTGGAGTACAAAGGTGAATAAGACAATCACGTGGGGGAGACAGACACATATGCAGACCATTTCAGCATAATATGGCTAGCGATAAGGTTGAGGGGGGCACACATCAGGTATGGGAGTATGCGCAGGCCATTTCCCATGTGGAGATGAGGAGATGATTCTTAAGTTGAATAATGCAGGATGGAAGGAAAGTGACTAGCATGGAAATGGGACGGTTGGGGTAGAATGGGAATTACCAGCATGGAAACATTCGTGAACATGCTTTAAATGGAGATCTACAAGCAGTTTGGTATTAAGATACACAGTAGGAGGCAGGCAGTGGTGGAAGCTGGGACTGCAGAGGTGGACAGGGGGTCAGATCAGGAAGGTCCCTGAAATGTCCTGCCAAGGACTTGGCCTCCATCCAGACAGCAGTGGGAAGCTGACAAAGGGTTTTAAATAGCAAGGAGTATGGACAGATTCAAATGTTAGAATGCTCACTGGCAGCAGTGTACAGAATTAATTGAGGGGGCATGCTATAGGGAGCTCTTTCTCTTTATGCATGGACTTGGACTCAATTGCACAGATACAACAGTGAATATCTGAATTTGTATGCTGAACATCAATTGAGCATACAGAGACTGTTGGAGACAGTAAATGTTTGCATCAGCGGCTATGTCAGTTACCTTTATACCGACTTTCCTTTCTCTACCTTCAAATACAGTATTTCCTTCATACTTAATCCCAGGAAACTTGGTGAAAACAGCTGTTGGTTGAGAAGGAGGGGAAAAGGAGAGAAAAAGGGTGGCAGACAGTTCTGGGTGGCCAGTTCTCTGGGGTTAGATGTGGTATGTATGGGAGGCAGATCTTGCATCTTAGAAACTCTCATATAATTATTTCCACAACTGCATTCTCTCCAAACAATTGTGAAGGGAAAAGACAACTTTTGTTTTTTTATTTATCTATGTTATTTCAGATGCCCACCTTTCTAGAAGTAGCTTCTGAACTTAGTAAGACTAGCCTCCGGCTTACGAAGGAAGATACTGCACAGAGGAATGGAGACTCAGAAGGTTCCCTGGGGGGAAAGAGTGTGCCACCTGGGGTGGCCCACTGGGACCCTCACGTTTGGGAGGGATCAATTGTCAAGAGAGATTGGGAAATCATCTCCAATTTAAGGGGATGAGTAAATGGGGGGAGGTCAGGTACCCTAATAATATTCAATGGGGGTATTAAATCCCTCTGTGGTGAAACGATCTTTTGGGTACTGTGCTGATGAGGGGTTCTGCCTGGATGGGGCTGTGGGTTATGAAAGAGGTCCCCGGTTATGAGAGTGCAGAGTGCAGGGGTGTTGGCCAATCTGTAAAGGCGCTTGGCTATAGAGGTCTGGCTGAGGGGGCCGGGGCTGGTTGTGCGGGCGGGGAGCCTCACCTTTGCGGGCCTTGTCTCCGGGGATGTTCTGGGCCCGCAGCCGTTGGTCCAGGATGTAGAGCATCTCCCCGCCCAAGTTCAAGAAAAGCAGCGGCAGCGTCCGCATGGACATGGTGCCGGAAGCCAGCGCGTCTGCTACAGAGCCTCCAGGTTTAGTAGCCAGAAGACAGGAGGCCCCGCAGCCGCGTCCCCAAAGCCCGGTTGCTAGGCAACGCGGCAGGCGGCAAAGAAGGCCAATCAACAGGCCGCTTGTTGGAAGGCACCCGGGGGCGGGCGCGTACTGGGCGAGGCGGCGAAGACCTACGGGGTTGATTGGACAGAGCCCCGCGGGCCTTCGGCCCTGAGCGCCGGTTTTGAATTTCTTTAGACCCGGAGGGTGGGCGACGATCGGCTGGGTGACCACTCTCTCCCCTCCAGGGCGGAGTGCTCACGTGCCGTTAAAGGAGGAAAAAGAAAGTGTTTGTCGCTCAGTCCTGGCGGACTCTTTGTGACCCCATGGACCGTAGTCCGCTAGGCTCCTCTGTCCATAGAATTCTCCAGGCAAGAATACTGGAGTGAGTAGCCAGTCCCTTCTCCAGGGAATCTTCCCACCCAACGATCGAACTCAGGTCTCCTGCATTGCAGGCAGATTCTTTACCGTCTGAGCCACAAAACCCAAGCCGAGCTCTTTTAGAGCAGACTCAATACTTTGGCCACCTCATGCAGAGTTGACTCATTGGAAAAGACCCTGATGCTGGGAGGGATCGGGGGCAGGAGAAGGGGACGACAGAGGATGAGATGGCTGGATGGCATCACCGACTCGATGGACATGAGTTTGAGTAAACTCCGGGAGTTGGTGATGGATAGGGAGGCCTGGCGTGGGTCGCAAAGAGTCGGACACAACTGAGTGACTGAACTGAACTGGGCAGACAAGTCTTTTTTTTTTTTTTTTTAAGTAATTTTTAATATGATCATATTAGCTTCAAAATTATTATATCATGTAATTTTACGAAGAAAAGCCAAAACAGAACTTTCAAATTAAATCAGATTTTCCATTCTAACAGATTTTCTCAGTAAGTTCAAAGGAATCGGCAGATTCCTGAGCCTGACAAATATGAAAATCATTTGATTCAATTTGGTTAGAGGTCAATTCCTTTATACTTTCGTAGGTGGTGGTTTGGTGGTTTAGTCGCTAAGTCATGTCTGACTCCTGTGACCCCATAGACTGTATCCCACCAGGCTTCTCTGGCCATGGGGTTCTTCAGGCAAGAATACTTGAGTGGGTTGACATTTCCTTCTCCAGGCAGACCTGGGTTTGAATCCCTGCTCTGCAGTTTCCTGCAGTTGGGGCAGTTGTTTTGAACCTAGGCTTCCTCATTCTGGAAAATGGAGGGGACAGCCATCTCCCCAATGTTGCAGAGCGGAATCACTGAGATCATGCAAAATGCCAGGAAAGCCCTCAGCAAAATGGTAACTTTCAGGTGGGGGAAGTACCAGAGGTCCTTGAATTATTTGCATTTCCTCCCTAAAAGGCGCTTGGAGTGAAGCCCAACAGAAGGTTTCATGCACCGGGAAGCAAACCAGGCCTGTTGAGGATGAGTGCTGGGCTTTCCGAAGCTCCTGCACAGTTAAGCAGGCCTACCACCCACTTCTCTGTTTTGAGGGCAGTAACCACATTCTTCACCTTCATCAGAAGCTTCAGGATCACCTTCTCATCATCTGCTGTTTTTACATTTTTGCTTTGATGAGCAACTGTTTCTGTAAATTTCAGTAATTCTAAAACCTACTAATCATTTTCCCCTCCAGCCACTCAGACTTGAACCTGAGCCTTGGTTTCCACTTTCCTCCCCCTGGGTCTTATTATCATTCACCAATTCTGCTTTTCCCACCAAAATCTTTCTCACATTTCTTTCTTTTTGTCTGCATTACTGTGTTTCTTCATATAACTGCTCTTTTCTCACTTCCATGGGCCTGGCTGCTAGGCTAAATTTCAGAAGACACCCATCAGGCTTTCCGTATGACATCCCTTCAGTGGCTCTCCACTGTTTGGCAGATCACAGGTGAAATGCCTTTGTAAGGCGTTCAAGCCTGTCCGCTCTGGCTCTAACTGCCTTTCCAGAGACCTCTTCTGCACTCCCTTAATACTTCACAATCCACTTGAACTCAAACTCATTAGCGTCGTCTTGTCTTTGGAGCATCACCTCCTCTTACTGATAACCACACCCACCACTGGAAAGTCTGCCTTTAACATATAAGCTCAAGTCTTTCCCACACCTTCTGGAGTCCACTTTCCTTCCTTTCAAAGCCGAGGTTTTAAAAGAATAGTTTACCCTCATAACCTCAATTTCCCCCATCATCATCACCCACTTCATTGCCATTGGATTCAGCTCTCTCCACTCCACTGAAACTGCTTCATCAAGAAGACTTTTTGGTGCTTAACCGACATCTCGGCAGATACTATACAGTGATTGAAAGCTAGCAGCCCAGGGCTTTGATTTGATCTTGGCTGGTCTGTGCATTGTCTTAAAAGGGACTATAACTAGGATGGGACTGTAATAAGCAGCTTAGCATCATTATCTTACTCTTGGCCTTCATGCATTATGCTATCTGCCTGGTTGCTAAAATCATTTGAGTTTGTTGCAGTGTAGTTTCCTCCCAGAGCTTTTCAGACCACTTTTTCCCCTAGGCACTGTGATATTATGAACAGAACATGGGCTTTGGAGTCAAGACAGATGTGGGTTTGAATCCTTGCCTGACTCTAAGCAGCTTTGTGAATCTGGACAAATCGTGAGTTTCAATTCTCTCATGGTTAAAATGAGGATAATTATGCCACTATGGCAGGGGGGTTGGTGGGGGGGAAGTTTGATAAAGGTGGCTTTAAAGATTAGACGAGTTAATGTGACTAATGCAACATTTAAAACAATGCCTTTCCTGTAGGGCCTGTTCCATGAATCTGTGAATGTGTTCCTTTTCTTGCCTTCTCCAGCATAGCATCTCTTAAGTAGCTGTGTCTACTTGAGTCCTGTCCCATAACAGGCGTTCCCTCCTGTTCCTGGAGGTGGTATCTGACCCTCTCCTCTCACTTGATTCCTTGACCCCAGACCCTCTGTTCCACCTTCATGTCACCTTCCCCTTGACCTCAGCTGTTCCTCCTGACTCAGGATATGCCCTCAGAAATCATCCTTCCCATCTGGACACGGTCCCGTTTTCTTCGCTCACATTCCCTCCCTGAGCAATTTCACTCACACCCATGGCTTCAGTCACCTTAAAGGTAACTCCCAAACCTGTCTCTGGTTTCCAGCTGCTCTTTGGACATCACTATAATGCACCTTCCTTCCTTTCTGGCTTCCTTTCTCACTCAGCATGAAACCTAAAGTCTTTCCCTAGTGTTATGGACTGAATATTTGTTCTTCCCAAATTCAAAGGTTGAAGCCCTAACCCTCAATGTGATGGTATTTGGAGATGGGGGTCTTTAGGTGGTCATGAGAGTGAGGTCATGAGGGTAGAGCCCTCATGAGAGGATTAATGCCCTTATTAGAAGAATAACTTTTCTTTTATGACCAACCTGGATAGCACATTAAAAAGCAGAGACATTACTTTGCCAACAAGTCCGTCTAGTCAAGGCTATGGTTTTCCCAGTAGTCATGCATGGATGTGAGAATTGGACTATAAAGAAAGCTGAGTGCTGAAGAATTGATGCTTTTGAACTGTGGTGTTGGAGAAGACTCTTGAGAGTCCCTTGGACTGCAAGGAGACCCAACAAGTCCATCCTAAAGGAAAGTGAAAGTGAAGTCGCTCAGTCGTGTCTGACTCTTTGCGACCCCATGGAATGTAGCTTACCAGGCTCCTCCGTCCATGGGATTTTCCAGGCAAGAGTACTGGAGTGGGTTGCCATTTCCTTCTCCAGGAGATCTTCCCAAACCAGGGACTGAACCCAGGTCTCCTGCATTGTAGACAGATGCTTCACCGTCTGAGTCACCAAGGAAGTCTCTATATCACAGGAAAACTTCTAGTGAGATAACTTGTAAAATCTCTACCCCAACAAAATTAATTCTGTCTAGGAAGCACCCTATTGAAAAAGAGTGGATTAAGTCCTACAGTTTGTAATTGAGTTTTAAAATTTAGTATGTTGCTATATGGAATAAAAAAATGTGATAGAAAGGACTCAGGCCTTATAAATGGCTGGAGAAACTGTCATCTGTATAACTAATTAATTCCATTAGACTTGCAGGGTTGTAGCATGGTTTAAAATATTGATTGGAAAAAAAATAAAATATTGATTGGCTTTAGTTATTAAAAAACAAAGTACTAATGAAGACACAAATTCCTTTGAGCTGGGGATTCATTCATGGACAAGTCCATTTGCCTTCTGTTTTCTCAATCACAATAGTTTGTGTATCACTACCTGGTGGTATATATTCATAGTCATCATACAAGAGGCCTAGGATTGGATACTGTGTCCTGTACTTTCTAGTTGTAATAGTTGTCCTTCCACCACTGGAGGGTTGGTTATGAGATGAATATATTTCTTGTCTCAACTTCCTAAAGGAAATCAGTCCTAAATATTCATTGGAAGGACTAATGCTGAAGCTGAAACTCCAATACTTTGGCCACCTGATGCGAAGAACTGACTCCTTTGAAAAGACCCTGAAGCTGGGGAAGATTGAAGACAGGAGGGGACGACAGAGGATGAGATGGTTGGATGGTATCACTGACTCAATGGATGTGAGTTTGAGTAAACTCCGGGAATTAGTGATGGGACAGGGAGGCCTGGCGTGCTGCAGTCAACGGGGTCGCAAAGAGTTGGACACGACTGAGCGACTGAACTGAGAAGGGCAAAAGCAATCTCTTCCTCTCCTTCTCTCTCTCCCCACTTTACTGCCTCCCTCCACTTGTGAGGACATAGTCAGGATGTGGCCATCTATAAGCCAGGAAGAGATTCCTCATCAGAAACCAAATCAGCCTACACCTGGATATTGGAATTGCTAGCCTCCAGAACAGAAAATAAATCTGTTAAGCCACTCAGTTTATGGTACTTTAAAACAGCAGCCTGAACAGACTAATACACCCCAAAAGCTCCATATTACCTGGTTTCTGCTAACTCCTCTGATCTCATGTCTTCCTACTCTTTTCTTTGCTGACTCAGTTTAGACACACTGTCTTCTTTGGCTTTTTCAAACATACTAAGCATACTCAGGCTTCAAGGCCTTGGCATTTGAATTGGTGTAAATGGGTGGGCTTTGTGGGGAGGGAGTTGTCCGTCACGCCCCAGAATTTATAAGCAATGTTTTGTACCTGTGCAGTTTTAGGGACAGACTTCTATCAGATTCTCAGTCCGAACACCAATACCCCTGCCTCCCCACAATTAATCACTCTGATCTCTCCCCGTCCTGTCCAGCTCTACATTGCTGCTGTTGATCTAGTGGAAACACAGACTTGTTATCATCACTCCTTCCCAGCCAGCACATGAAGCCTCTCATAGCCTAGCTGCAGCCTACCTGTCAAGCTGTGTGTCCAGTTCTGCTGCTGAGTGCAGCACACGCCTGCACACTTCTTTGTCTTTGCACTTGCAATCCCTCCTGCCTGGGATGCCCTCCCTCCCTACTTCCGCCTGGCGAACCTCCACTCATCCTTTAGGCAACTGTTTAGAGGTAGTTCTGACACTGACCTCCTCACCCAGTAGCCAGTCAGCCTTGCTTCTCTGTGCCACCATGCGCTCAGGCTCACCTCCACTGAACGGCCCCTGGATGACGGGGGGTTGTTTACCTGAGTGTGTGTGAGGTGTGTGATAAGAATGTGTCTTGTGGTGCCAGAGGGCAGGGACTCTGCCTCTGACACCCCCAGGATCCCAGAGCTTCATGAACGAGTGAATTCCTCCTTGTCCCAGGCCACAAGGAGCCCCACCTTCTCTACTGTTATTCTTCAAGGTAGCAAGACATGACTTTATCGACATTTATTGGGTTTCTTTGATTGCCTCTGGTCTGGCTTCAGAAGGGCTCTCTGGGTTCCTCTGGCCTTGTTTCTGGGCCGCTGCAGCTGCAGTTTTTAAGGCCCTTTTTTGCTTCTTCAGCTTTTGAACCTCTTGGTAAACCTGGGGATAAGAGGGGACAGGATAAGTGTTTGTAATACTACGCAAAACTGCAGACTTGAAGCAGCTGGGGTGGGAAATGACTCCCTCAGATGGTCACCCCAGCCTTTCTCCATGGGCTTGGTGACCTGGGAGCCACAAGGCCTCAGGCCCAGCTCCATGCCTTGCTCAGACTCAGACAACCTCTCCCTCTGCTCTCTCCAGCACAGTCCTGGAGCGGGACCAACCAAAGCAGCAGTTCTGAATCGTACCCGAATGCACAGAGCCTTCTTGGTTGCCAAGCGTCGGTGGACTTTCCGGTGGTACGGAGGAGGAAAGGTATACTCAATCCCCAGCTCCTTGCATGTCTTCTCAAAGACAGGATAGTTGGTCTTGCGGAGGTTTTTGAGCATTTTTTGCCTCTGGTCAATGCTCATCAGCAGATAGCGCTTGTGGGCTTTGTCCTGTATGAGAATCGGTATTACTTTGAGTATTATGTAAATAAGTGGGTGCCACTTCATAGGAACAAAGCATGGTCATTTTACCATGGCACTGAAACAATCTTAGGCAAATATCAGGGCAACTCTGAGCTAGGCAGTGTTACTCCCATTTTACAGATGGGAAAATAAAGGCTCAAAGATGTTAACTGATTCATTAAAGGTTTCAGAACTGTGCTGGATCAGGGCCTTGTGTGAGGTCAATCTGGAATCCAAGCCTGGAGGTCTGAGTCCACATCTCATGCTCTTTCCCCTACACCCACCCACTCAGCCTCTCCACAGCTCAGCACACTGTCAACTGGGGTGAGAGGAGGGAAGGCCAAGGAATAGCCCTGCCCGCAGTCAAACACTGCTTCCTCAGTGGGGCTGGTGTTCCATACTCCAACTGTGATCTCATGGAGCAGCTCAACTAGCTTTGGGGAAGAGAGGTGCCAGGCGTGGAGCCAGACCAGTTTGTGTTAACAAGTGTGTGTTTATTAAAAATACCAGCAGTTGCTTCATTACAGCAGCTCTGTGCCCGAATACCATGCTGAGATCTGGCAGACCGGCTAGGAATGTGGGTCTGGAGCAAGACCACCGAGTTTCAGGTCTCAGCAGAACATTTCCTAGTGGTGTGCCTGCAGGGGTAACTTAATCATGCCCCGCCCAGATTATTCTTCCATACTACGGGCTACAAAGAAGAGTATGAGGGTTAAATGAACTGGTGCACACAGAGTATTTAGCAGTTGGCTAAAATGTCAGCAGCTGTGGGGAGACGAGCCTGAGCACTTAGGGGCTCTGGGTCCGGAGAAGCAGCTTGAGAAGCCAGGTGGCCAGAGCAGCAGAGCACCCGCCCCTCAGCTGCAGTGGGAAACACACTTCCTCCCATCGGCTGCCATTATTTCATACAGTCCTTGCGATCTTCTCAGCAGGGACTAATACGGTCCCCATTTGACAGACAGGAGAACTGAGTCTTCGACAGGTAACTTCCCTAGAGTCACACAGCTAGTCAAGTGGCGGTGGCAGAGGTGAGTTTTGAACCCAGGGCAATCTGACCCCACTCATGCACTCAACAACTACTGAAGGCCCCTGTGAGCCACACATTGCCCTTGCTCTGAAGTTTGTGCTCTTGTTGACCATGGATGACACTCAGCCCACCCTGAAAGGTCCCTTTTCTCCCCTGGAGGCGGGAGGGAAGTGTGTTTCCCTCTGCAGCTGAGGGGCGGGTGCTCTGCTGCTCTGGCTTCTCAAGCTGCTTCTCTGGACCCAGAGCCCCTCAGTGCTCAGGCTCCTCTCCCCACAGCTGCTGACGTTTAGCTCTGAGCGAGGCCCAAGGGTTACCTTTCGATGTTTCTGCATGTGTTCTTCATAACTGCGGATCTTGACAGTCAAGGCAACAACTGAAACCACAAACCACAGCGGATGAGAGACGGGCACAGAGGAAGGAAGGGCCAGACCTTGGTTATGTTTTAAGACCTCAAGGAATAACAATCACCAAAGCTCTTGTACAGCCCTCCACCATTTCCAGAGTAGTCTGAATTTCGAGAGCTCAAAAGACTTTGGAATAGCTTGCCTTTAAGAATGCAAAGTCTGAGGAAAGGAAGTTCCTTAATCTTATGAAGGTCTCATTGCCAAACCCCAAACCCCCAAATCAGCATTCTTAATGGTAAAATTTTAGAGCATCCCTATTAAATTCAGGACTTAGTCTGGAATGCCTGCTATCATGGTTACAGACTGAATACAGCCCCGGAGGTCCTTGCTAAGGCAATAACTGAAGATCCCCAAACTGTCAAGAGTCTCCTCCTTGCCTCTTCCCCCCCAGCTGCCACCCTTATCTGTGTTTTCGCTAATGAGTTTTCAGAATTATCAGCTCCCATTCATCTCTTAGAGCCTCAGAACATCCTTCCTTCGGGTATCCTCTTGTTTGGCTCAAGCCTGTATTGCAGAGATAGGGGAAAAGGCAAAAGCAGAAGATGGCCCCAAGGAGAGGCTGTCACTGCAGAAGGCCCTTCCCGCATGCAGTACACCGAGTCCTGGGAGCACTGCAGAGGGCGCGGTGGGGACGCTGGCCCTGACCACGCGCCCTTTCTCACCACCTTAGCTGCAGAGCAGAGAGAGGAACAAGCTCCTTAGGAACGTCACCTGAGCTCATACAGAGATATGACTACATCACGGAGCTCAGAAAACAGAGTCCAGTGTTCCTTGGTCCTTCCTGTCTCCCTCTTTATCACGCCACATCTAACACCAGTGTATCTGCAGATGAGGGACCTGAATCAAGCACCAGCTAGCAGACTATCCTATACCCCAACTCCCCAAGGGCCCCGCGACCAACTTCGAGCCTCCAGGGAGCTGGTGTCCTTCGGGTTTTCCACGACCTTGCTCATCAACTGCTCTTTCTTGATTTTTAGCATTTCCTTCTGTTGAAGATAGAGAGGGAGAGTCTGTGAGGTCTGCCACCCCCAACTTGCCCTCATGCCTCCAAGTAAGGGCTGCAGTCATAGCAACCAGGCCACAAGGCTCAGGGACTGACTTCACTCAGCTCATCAGGGTATGGCCTCTGGCCAATCACAGGGCTGTTCACATCTAGATGAGCCTAAGGCCAATGCCACTGATAGAAGAATGTTGGATCAATGTCCCCAAACCTTGCTCACTCATGCAGGCATCAGATTTTTATTGAGTACCTACTGTTTGTCAGGTGCTAAGGGTACAACAGGGAACAAGTTGTACCCTTAGTCCTTGCCCTGGAGATATTCAGTCTGGGGTACTGACAAGTGGATACAGCATGACAGTGGGATAAACACTTTGACTTGAGAAGCATGGACTGGGGGATGTTACCAGGGTAGGAGGGAGTCCCCAGAAGAGGACAGAGAGAGGTCAAAGCTTGGCAAAGGCCACTCACCTTGTTGGCCATTTCCAGAGATAAGAGTCTTCTCACAACATCATCAACCCTGTGGGAAAAAACCGCAGCAATGAGAGACAGGTGTGGAGGGAAAGGGGGAAGGGGAAGCAAGGCTATTTTCATTTTAGTTTGAAAATCAAGAATGTTGACTCCCTTTTTATCTTTTATATATTTTTAAAAATTTTTTTTCTGTATTATTTTTTTTTATAATTTTTTTTCTTTTTTCTTTTTTTTTTTTAAAAAAAAAAGAAAAAAAAAAGAAAATCAAGAATGGTTAAAGATTTCTTTTACAACAGGGGTCTCTCTGGGAGTGGGGTGCCATTTCTCAGGAATTAAAAGTCAGCATGGATCTGATTTGCTAGGCTGAGAACATGCAACCATGTGGTAACAGAAAACTGGGGCTGTCAGCTCAAGTGTTCCAGATTCATTTCAGGGAGGGCAAAAAGAAGATTTCCATTTTAGCTGGAATATGGCTCGGTCGGTCTTGAGACACTTCAATTCTACAGTCATTGTTTCTTTCTCATGTCACACTGCACTGTGGGAGGGACCGGAGAGACTGCCCAGCTCCCACTGCACAGGACAGGGGCTGAGCACAGGGGCCTGGTTTTGGTCTTCCAGCCCTGATTCGCCTTAGGAGCTGTATGGCACTGGGCAGTCTGATAATGCACAAAACGGAGACACTGTGCCTTCCCTCACAGGACAGAGAGATGCAAGATTTCTACAAAGACCTGTGAGGCGTGGTGCCTCCGTGGTATCTCAAGGCAGAGGGTCTTTACCCAGAGCATAAAAACAGCAGGCATGCTCCATCTGGCTCGCCTGCCCAGTCACTCTCACCAGGCCCGGGCTTCTCTGCCCTGTTTCATAGTCAGGCTTCAGACCCCGCGGGCCTCTCCCTGGGAGCCAGTCCCCCCAGGGCTCTCTGCCTCACCCGGGAGATCTCGTCCTGCTTACTTCTCAACCCCAGGGACGTTCTGGTAGTCCTTCAACAGCGTGGAAGGGGGCGGGTCGTCGTCTTGGCTTTGCTGGGCTGTCAAATGCAGGGGTGGGAAACACCCGGCATCAGCTCTCACTGTCCATCCTCCTGGCCTTGGCTCTTCCCATCCCCCCTGTCAGAAGCGTCCAGGGTCGCAAGCAAGGCACTGGCAGTTCCGGGTTCAGCTTCTCCTCTGTAAACCCTATGGGCATCTGCCTCGGCAGTTCACGCTGGGAGCAGACGGCCTTTCCCAAGACCCTGTGCTGTGCCCGTGCCTCACACCTGTCTGGCTCTACAGTTATCAGATGTCCCGCCAGGATGGGTCCTCCTGTGGACAGACTGAGCTCGCCTCCCTCTGAATACACCCCCACCCCTCCCCGCAGCCTGGTTCTGTGGCTCAGCACACAACAGGCACTCTGCAAATACTCGCTGGCTGACTGCATGAATGACATGAGGGGCTTACTTAAGGAGATGTCCGAAATGTCAACACCAGACAGAGATCACAAGAAACCCTCAGCCTTGGTGTGTGCTTGCAGGTGAGGGAGAGACAAGGCAGAGATCAACTTGTCCTCTCCACTCTGACCCTGCTCTGCCATTACACTAATAATATTAAGATCTAGTAAGAGAGATCTGAACAGCTATGCAGATTGCCTGGGGATGGGAAAGCAGGCTCTCCACCTCGGAAGGGCGGACACGAAGCGCTGTATTTTAGGTAAGCCTCGGTAGTGTCAGCCCCGTACTGCCTCTCAATGGTTCATTTCCACTCACACCCACTCTAAAAGCTCCTGCTCCCATCCTCCCCTCCCCCTGCCCTTCATGCAGGATCCAGGCCCGTGACTTTCTTGCAAGGTGGGCGTGGGCTTCTTCGCAGGACCTCTGCACCATCACCCCTCCACCCCCGCCTCCGGGAGGCTCTGAGTAGCCACCTCAAGCCTTCCAGGCAATTGAATCTCTCTTCCGCCTCAAGTCGAATCCAGTTCCTACCTGGTTTCTGGGTGGCATATCCGCGGGCGGTCCGGAGGATGAGACCTACGTAAAAAAAGCGGGGCGGGGGGAGGGGGAGGGCTGAGGTCCGTCTCCTTAAACAATCTAGCCGCGATTCTGGTCTGTGGCCGCCGCATTTCTTCGGCACCGGGATGCCCCGTGTCTCTCCCACTTCACCTCACTTCTTCCCCACCCATCATTTTTCTCCTGCCGCTACACCGCCACCCAGTAGCCTCCTTCCCCTCATACCCTCTATCTCCTCCAAATCCTATTTCCCTATTCTCGCTGTCCGGCTTCTCAGCTCACCTCCAGGACTTGAGTGAAGGTCCCGCTGGACGGAGAGAAGCTTGGCGCACTCTCCGCCCGGAAACCCGAGGACTGGGGGATGTGTCACTGCCTGGGTTCGAATCGAACTCAGCGCCCTCCACGCCGCCCTCAGCATGGTGACTTCCGACCCCCAAGGGACCCGCGCCACGGCCGCGTCGCCTTCGCGGTAGGGACTGGGTTACACGGGCGCCGCCATGTTGGCCCCGGCTCGACCAATCGAGTGCAGTTGCGAGACCGGAGCAGATGAGGACCGAGATGATGGATTGGCAGGTAGGCCTCAGTGATGACGCGAAGTTGGGTCAAGAGGAGAGGTCTGGTTAGCTATAGCGCGAGACTGGAGGGGCTTGGTCGTTGCCTGGACCTGTTACTGGCGTGCGGTGCTGTATCAACTCTAATGCCACCTTTTCTTGATCATGCATCCTGCCCTTAATCCCACTCCAGTTTCCTGACGAGTTATCCTGGGGGCTTCCCGCGGGCTTGTCAGTGGTCTTCCCCCGACATAGTATTTCCACCCCCTCTCCCCCGAGAGTGCAGGATGGGGCCCTGTAAGAACTGCCGGGTTTCAGCCTTTTCTCTGGCAGCATTGCAGCGTGGTGACTGAGGTCGGTGATTTTGGACACCTGGAATCCTAGCTCGGCTGTTTGCTGGCTGTGTCACTGTGGGCAAGTCACTCAACCTTTCTGGGCCCCAGTGTACTTACTCCATGATATGGGGGTGATAATAACAGTATCTTTATTTTAGGTTGTTAGAGGGTTAACTGAGACGGTTGTATACAAAGCACCAGGAATATAGTAAGTATTCAAGAAATATTAGTTTTGATATTTGTGAAATGAGGGGTATAAGGACAAATGCCAGCCTCACAGGTGGCTAAGTGGTAAAGAATCTGCCTGCCAGTGCCAGAGTTGCAGGAGACAGATCCCCTGGAGGAGGAAATGACAACCCTCTCCAGTATTCTTGCCTGGAGAAGCCCATGGACAGAGGAGCCTGGTGGGCTACAGTTCATGGGGTTGCAAAGAGTCGGACATGACTGAGCCACTGAGCATGCAGACATGGACAAATGCCAATTAAAAGTAGGAAAAATATACCTTAATTTCCCCCAGTACAAAAAAGAGAAAGACTCTCCTCCTCTTTGCTTTTCTTAAAGCATTTATTTTAGAATACATGTAACTGAATTCTTTTTCTGCCCTTTTGAGATGCGTGTAAATCTTTTTAAAAGCTAAATAGGCCTCTTGCCAGTTTTACCACTCAGGGATGTCTTTCTCAGGGACCCGAGAGTGGTCTGTTTGAAATGTAGTCATTAAGAAAGACAGAGCCCCTGTCTCCCAGTTTCTGCGGGAGAGCTGGAGCTGGTCTCCAGCTCAAAGTTGCAAACCTCCCTCTTATGAAGATATGAGAAATTTATTTTTCCTCTGAATAAAGGCAATTAGCAAACCCAGGTGGCTCCCCCATTTCCCAGCTGAATTTAGGATGATCCTTGTGTGACAAATAGTGCTGTCAAGCCCTCTTGCTTGAGAACTAGTTATTGATTATCTTGAGAAAATGTATGCAATGAGTTGTATCCGCTTCACTGTGTAAAAGTATAAGACTTCTTTTCGTCTTTGCAAACTCTTGAGCTGCTTGCCCATGACATTCTGGTTAAATTCTCACCCAATTAAAAATTTTTTTTCTTCCTTGTCTACCCTTGTGGACAGGTTTTCTAGGCCAGTGGGAGATTTTGTTTTTAATTATATTTTCTTTACAGGGGTTACTTGTTTCCAAGTTCTGTTCGCCATGTCCCCAGTTATCTGTGACTCCTTTGGTAACCATAGCCACTGTACCCTGGTGGTCATTATTCAGGTTTCCGTCACTAGAATGGGAACTCTTTGAGGATGGACTAAGCCTAGTCATTTTGGAACCCTGCTGCCAGCACAGCACCTCGGTGCTAGGTGAGGGCTAGTTGAATGAAGGAATTAAAGAAAGAATAAATAAGTGAACGATTCTGAGGAGCACCCCACCCCCACAATAGCTCAGGCTCTGAAAAGAAAAAGAACAGAGATTCAGGCACACTCAAGAGTTGCTCAAAATCAACCAAACCAAATCAGACCATAAATCACTTTAAGAGACTGAAATTATAGGAATCAAGTACCGATTATGGGAAACAAAGGCTAGTGAGCAAGCTGAACCAAGCCTTGTCTGGCCTTTGAAGTGGGAGACCCAGCCCGTGGAGATTGGGAAGATGGGAGAGGGATGCTAAGGGTCAAAGACAGGGGGAGGCCGGGAGCCTTTCTGCCTTTCCTGGAGCTGAGTGGTTTTTTAGTGATGGGCTTACTGGCATTCTCTTCTCTGGATAGCCCAGGCTTATCAAAGAGCAGGCCCAGGTGGGGAGTCCCAGGAAGCCCTAGAAGCCCCCAAGACCCTCCGCCCCACTGACCCGGAGTCCTTGTAGTAGAGGGAAGTCAAGCAGAGGTTCAAAGATGCTGTCATCCTCCGGATGTGGGACTAGGGGCTCTGGGGCCCCCAGGGGGCTGGTCTGGAACCAGAGGTTCTCGTAGGACTTGGGACTGGGGGTGAGGCCCTCCAGGAGGGGCTGAGTTGAGTCACAGCGGAGGTAGTGCCCAGGCCCTGGGCCTGTGGGGCTGCCTAGCACCTGCACATAAAGCACCTGGTCGCTGTTGCCAGACTGGGGCTGAGGCTGAGTGGAAGGTACTCTTGGGTCCCCCTGGAGCACATAGGCCTGGACAAGGGTGGAGAGGCTACCGGTCCCTGAGCCGTCATTGGACTCCCAGGGCCCTGGCTTTTTCTCTTCCTCCTCCAGCACTGTGATCTTGGTGATGGGTGGCATGCCGGGGTCCCGAAGGCTGGGCAGCTGGAAGATATCCTGACATAAAGATGTGTGGTGAGGACCTGGTTCATTTCAGATGTCTGTCCCAGCCCCTGTCCCTTCCTGAATTGGGGTAGTGGTGGGGCATTCCTGCTGTTCCTTGCTGGAACTCAAAGGATTACTCAGAGGATGCAAAGCATCTCATATGTGCCGGACACGTACTATGTGCTGTTCAGACAGCCTGGTGACTCTCCCCAATGCTTCTGTGTGTGATTTGTCCCATTTCACAATGAGGTGACTGAGGCTTCGAAATGGGTGGAGCTGGGATTCACACTCAGGTCTGCTTTGCTCTATAAAGAGGTGAAGTGATGGGAAGGCCTGAGTACTCATTCTTGGGGGAGTATCCCTTCACTTTGAGCCTGGGGTAGGAGCCTAACCCTCAGACCCATTTCCCTCTCCCTCCAGTGTTCTCACCTCTGCCGCGATGGTTGGCACCCAGGATCCCAGGCTGCTGCGGGCTGGGTCCGGGACACTTGGCCAGAGGGAATACTTCCTGCTGGAGAAGAGGGCAGGTGAAGGCTGGGTCAGCATGCCCTCCCGTCCTTCCAGCATTTCTCCCACCTACTCCCAGCAGCAGAAGGGATGACCCCTTTGTGTAGAGAGGAGAAGGAGGGGGGCCTGACTCCCAGACCTGAACCCTGTGGCCTGGCAAGTCTGAGAGGAGCCAGCCTTGCTCACTTGGGCCTTCAGTTCCCTTAGGCAGGGTTAACTGGGTGTCAGGCCTCTCAGACGGACTCACCTGGGTCTGCAGCAGAACTGGGCAGCCCCACAGAGGCAGATGAGCAAGATCAGGAGGCCAAACAGGCCCAGGATGATGTGCAGCTCAGACTCCTCTGCGGTGAGGGGAAAGCCAGGAGAGGTAAGAGGGCATGCATGTGAGACTGAGCCTCCTCCCTCAGACTGGGCTCCAAGGGCAGGGCTGGGCCTCCTCCCTCAGACTGGGCTCCAAGGATAGTGCTGGGTCTCCCCGCTCAGATCAGAGGATCCAGGCAAGGCTTATCCAGTTTCACAATGGCAGTCGTCTGGGTTAGGCCCCCTCCCAACAGCCTTGTCTGGCCAGACCCCATTCCCCCCTTACCTAGAGCCAAGGTCATCAGGGTGAGGATTGTACTGTTGGTGGCCCCCGCCTGGCTGGTGGCCATGAGGTGGACATGGTACAAGCTGGAAGGCTCCAGGCCACGGAGGACAAAGCTATGGGTGGAGGCATTCAGGACAGCGGCTGGGAGTAGAGGAGAATCGTGAGCCTGGGCCTGGCTGCTGAACCTTCCCAAGGCCTCTGAGCGCCCCCTCCCAGGCCTCTGGGGCTGTGGGTCGCTGCGGATAGACTCACAGAAGGACTGGTCCTGAGTGTTGGTCCAGAAGATGGTGTAGTGGGTAAAGGGGCTCTTCCCCAGCTCAGGGGCCTCGGGCACCCACTCCAGATGGGCCCATGTCTTGCCAATGTGCCTGAGATGCAACTCTGGGCCATGGGAGGGGGCTGCCGGAAGAGAGAGATACAGGGGCTGATGGGGAGTGGTGTGGGGATGAGGGAGCCCAGTTGGACTTCTTGTGGTTCCCCAGACATAAGAACTGGGACACTTAGTGGGGGTGGGTAGTATAATAAAGTGCAGGGGGACTCATATCTAAGCCTTGTTTTCCTAGGAACTTTCACTGAATCCCAGTGACTGCTAATAAGTGGCTAAGCTGGGATTTGAACCTGCTTTTCTTTGACTCCAAAGCCTTGCTTCTTGATTTCTGCCAGGCCTGGTTTTGTCTAGTTCACTATTTGCTTTCTGCCACTCATGTGATACCTGACCAGTTTTTGCCAAACTTGCTCCCTGAATTCTGCTGAGCTTACTTCCCAGTTTCCATTACCCCATCACCTGAGTTCTTTCCAGCTGCAGGGGTCTAGTGTAAGCCAGGGGTAGTCTTAGGATTGAGGGAGACCATTTTCTGGGCCAGAGGTAGGAGGGAAAGAAAACGTTTTCTCCTAATTCCAGATTTTGGGGGGCCTAGACAGGCCTTGAGAGAGAGGAGGGGATTCGGAAAAAAAGACTTAGTGGCTAACGAACCCATCTCTTGGGAGTAGGCATAGACGTGCTGGGAGGGTCCCTTGGTGTCCTGGTACAGGGGGGTCACAGTGATCTCGTAGAGCTGAAAGGGCCTGATGTTCTCTGTAGAGAGAAAATGGGGTGGGCTCTCTGGTTAGGGGCCAGCCTCTGATGATGGCTGGGAGCTAACCTTAGATTTCAGGGGTAACCTGAGCCTCGTTGTTCAGGGCTGGCCTCTGCAGTCTCTTCTTCAGATCATTTGGTGGGGGTAAGGGGCAACAAGTGGGGGAGAGAGAGCTAGAAAGGTGGCAGAGTCAGGGC